CTCACGACACACGCACACACACTGGGCCATCAAGGTCTTCTGTACAGCTTCGGCGAGTCAATTGGTAATCCAAGCTGTGACTCAGATAGGTTGTCGATTTTGTGCTTGCTCTTCCGTCTTGGAAGCACAGTTCACTTGCGGCAAGCCCAGCGGTGGTGCAGCTACCCCGCATCGTACCTGGTGACCAGGCGATGGTTGAGCATGCTACTCAGTCGCTGGGCTACAGTACCACAGCGCACCAGCAACGCAGTCCACCGGCGGCGATCGCCTGGGCCTTAATCACGACAGGATCATGCGACGGACCTGCGTGACCAAGCTACCCTGACCTCTCTACATGTGCCCACCACTGTACAGGAGCTTGCTCCGGGCTCGACCAGTCGAGCGACGTTGGGGCATGGCGATGGCATGACGACTGCGAAGACCCAGACGTGCTGACGAAATACAGTGGGCATGCCTACGTTGGCCCCTGTGCTCACGGAGCATCAGCAGCAAAGCAGCCCCAGGACCCCTCCCTCCTTTACCATGTACACCAACCACACGCCCTCATCGACACAAGGCATCGCGCCATCCCATCCGGACAATTGCATCACACGCCATCACCGCGCGGTTGCGTGGCCAGCGGCTCGGCTGGCTACCAAGGTTCCCGGTTGCAGATGTTGTGGCAGATCGGTGTGGTTCAGACGGTCAGGCCCAACAAGACAGGAGACGGATAGGCAGTGGACGGTCCGTCGTGCCACATCCTTAATGCACAAAGTCTTTTCCAGCCGTTTGCGACGCCGCCATGGGCCCTCAACCTCGCGCAATTCGGGCCATCCATGCATGCACGTTAGCGGTGTGTTGCGGTACTCCCCGCCCGTCACGCCCTCTGCATTGTGCCGTCGCTTCTTCAAGCCCAAACTCTGTCCTCCCTGCAACCCCGTCTTGTGGACGGGTCTGACGGTTCTGACGGAGCATGGGGCACTGTCGTGAGAAGACGGAATGGCCAGAGACAGACAAAGATGCCCAGTTAATTAGGCGTGTTGGAGTAGGTAGGAGAGGCGGGGCAGAGCACGAGGGCTGGAATCCTGGACTTGCCTGTCCCTTGCCTGACACACAGACCAGACACAATACAGCCTGGCACTTGTTCTCGACGACGGCGACTGCCCCTTGAGGTTCGAGCTCCAAGCCCTGGAGCACGTCAGGAAAGGGGCCGTTTGGGCCAGGTCAGGTGCCACCACAAGAAAAAAAACATCCCTCCCCCCAGCCCCTGCCACAGGCCACATGGTTCCTGTGGGCTGTGGGCAGTGAGTCCCCAAGTAGTGGAGTGTATAAGCGGGCAGTGGGAAGCAAAGTGCAGGCACGCCCCAGGACTCCCTTGAGCACGCCCCCCCAGTGCGTGTCGAGGAAGCAGCAACGGCCCAAACCGAGCCGTGTCATTCGAAAGCGCATACACGGAGCAGACCAGGGGAACCAATTCATGACACATAATTACTCTATGAAAACCACCGGGCATCACGACATGGCGAGCTTCAGACGAATACTAATAATGTTTGACGTCTGCCCTTGACGCCATATAGGTTGTTCTCGTTCTTCATCTATTCACCTTCTGAGCTCTGCCCTCCACGTTGCGTTGAGCCTCGACGACCTTACGATACCGTTCCCATCACCTTCCATTGCCTGCTTTCTCCACCGTACCAGCTGCATCTGCACCCAGCATCGCGCAAGCCTGCTTGCTCACTTACACGGCCCCCCGGTTTATTACCCCTCCATCAGAACCGCCTTGCGCAAAGCGTTCTCTCGAACCGTTTTCTTTACGGCTCGCCAGACGACACCAGCAGCGTCTCTCTTCAGGGTCCCACGAGCATTGCGACCTTCTTTGCCCACCTCACGACCCCGACCGCCCGACCTAGCAACGCTGTCGCTGCAGCCCCAAAGCCCCAGACACCAACTAGTCCTGCAGGGGCGCAAATTTTACCCCGTCAGCTGGACACGTCGAAACTTCATCGCCCTGCCTGCCCCGGCGACTACCCCGCAATCGCTGCACCGGAAATCCTCAAGCAAGCTTTCCAGACCAACTAGCGGGCTGAATGGGTCTGTTGCTCGCCTGACGACGGCACAAGACAGAGCAGCATACCATCGCCCTCAACCCTCGATCCTCGCCTGCTCGATCAGCTGAGCTCTTCCACTGAAGCGGCCCCGCCCCCTCCATCGCCAGCTCCTCCGCCTTGCTCTCTCCCTTGTCGGACCTGAGCAATCAGAGCAGTCAAATACACGCCACATCACATCATACCGACTCCTCATTTCGAGATTTTTCCCTCAGGGACTTCATCACCGCCAAGAATAGAATCCGGGGAAATCCAGTCCAGTGCCAGCACCAGCGCAACCATCGCCGTCACCATGCCCCACAGAGTCGCAGATTTCCTGCGGTCTTCCACTGAGACGTTTTCTGCCGCTGCTGTCAACACGATCAAGTCATCCATCCGGCCCCAGCAACAAGCCCCCGTGCGACGTCGCATTGAGCGCTTCCCCTCCTACGACCCCAGCCTGTCCGAGCAGTACGACGAGATTCCGTACCTGATGTATGCACCTGAGCCTGCTCCCGTCAAGGAAAAGAAAGAGCTGGCCAAGAGGGAGCGCAAAGAAAAGGACAAGATGCTCAAGAGCCACAAGAAGGACAAGACCAACCACCGCATCTCCCTGCCGTTTGGCCGCAGTAGGGAGATCCACGAGAACCCACATGCCGCGCTCGATTGGAAGATTGAGAGCCCGCCAATCATCTTCTTCGGGGACGCCGAGTCGTCTTCGGGCGCCCTTGTGTCGGGCCAGATGATCATTGAGGTCAAGGACGAGCACCTCGAGATTGAGAACTTCTCCGCGGCCCTCAACATCCACGTGCACCAGAAGAAGCCTTTCATGGCCAACTGCGCCGACTGCCTAGACCAGTACACGGAGCTCAAGAAGTGGACATTTCTCAGCCACCCCACCACCCTGCGCAAGGGCAGGCACCAGTACCCCTTCTCCATCCTTCTCGAAGGTCACCTGCCCGCCAGCCTCGACACCCCTCTCGTGTCGATTGCCTACGAGTTCAAGTCGGAGGTGACCCTGGCCAAGAACGCCAGGATCTCTGCGCTGCCGATCAAGTTCTGGAAGGATTTCGACGTCAAGCGCTCCCTCGTGCAGCCAGACACGCCCCACCACTCGGTCCGCGTGTTCCCGCCCACCAACATCAAGGCTGGCGCCGACTACGACCAGATTATCCACTCGACCGGATCGCAGCACGCCGTCCAGCTCCGCCTCGACGGTCTCACGACGGTCAATGACGCCACCAAGACGGTGGAGTACTGGAAGCTCAAGAAGATCACGTGGAAGCTCGAGGAGACGATCAAGACGGTCGCCCCCGCTTGCAAGAAGCACCAGCCTACCACCCCTGCAGAGGGCTCAGCCCCGGTTGCGCAAAAGGGTGCGTCGCGCACCGAGACGCGTGTCCTCGGCGAGAGGCACATGCACGACGGCTGGAAGTCGGATTACACGGCCACAGACGGCCACGTCGAGTTTGGGTTTGAGTACGGCGTCGCGGCGTCGCTCCTCGCGTCTTCGAAGAACGGCACACCGGGCTTTGCCTGCGACAGCCGCTCGCTTGACGGCACCTCGGTTTCGCACGCGCTCATGATCGAGATGGTCGTCAGCAAGGAGTGGGCGCCCGCCGGCAAGCCGCACCTCGCCGCGCAGACGGGCACGGGCCGCATCCTGCGCATGCAGTACCACATTATGCTCACCGAGTGCGCCGGTCTCGGCGTCAGCTGGGACAACGAGGCGCCGCCGGTCTACAGCGACGTGCCTCCGAGCCCGCCGGCGTACCCCAACGCGCAGCCCATCGACTACGAGGCGCTGGAGATGCTCGATGCGCTCCGGACGAGCCCCGAGCCAAGGGCATGAATACACGTCATGTTGGACACATGGAGCCCATTTGGCATTGCGTCCCACATGGATGCACATGACGAAACGATAATGAGACGAAATGTTCTCATGGACACGGATAGGGAGAGAAGGAAAAGCATATGTTTGTTTGTACTGCATCTTGTCATTGGCTTAGCACTATACCCCCCTCTGTATTTTGAGTACTTGGATGGTTTTCATGAACTTGAAAGCGGATGGGCTGGTTTGTAGCTCTATTGAGGGCATTCATCAAGGGCGTTTGGGGACATGATTGAACGGCCACTCCATGGAGTAATCGGGGCATACAGACCCCGAGGCGGCGAACGCATAATTTTACTCTGATGGCTACGGCCTCAATTATTGACTGGTTCTCATGATCATGTTCTTCCGCATCCTCGTGGTTCTTACTTGTTGTCGTGCATGGCTCGTTGAGTGTAGTGCTTGCTGACTGGCGCATACCAGGATTTGCTTGCCTCTCATGTGAAGTGAGTGGAGTGGACGCCTGCCGCTGGTACTCGCGGGTTGCGTCAGAACGATACAAAGCCCCCACGTCGGGCAGAGGTCAAGTCACGTCGACGTTATTCAGCCATCACCATTGATCGATGACTGACCGACAGGCAAGCAACCTGGGGCAACACGGGGCGTGCATGCCAATGATGGGGCGAGGGCTTACCAATGACCAAAGCCCGGCCGATGAGCAATCGCCGAATGGGCAAGGGCGATGCGTGAGACGACGAAAAAGGCAGGCCCGCCACTTCCCAAGTCGAAGGTGATGATGTAATCAGCGGGTTTCCCTTTCCGCGTCGAGATGCCGCTGTGTCCGAAGGGGGTTTAAGAACCCCGCGCAGCCGCATGCCTTCCCTCCATGCCTCCTTGGATCAACGTATGCCCTCATCGACAAGTGCCCTATGTGAAGTAGTCAGAGCATGCATCGAGTCATCAAGACAGTACGCCAACTCTCCTGCAATACCATTCCATTGTCCGTGAGACGAGCATCAGGGACCAGCATCGCAGCGCCCAGATTCACCAGCCTCGCCAGATCCCAACCACAAGCCAGATCGGCGAGCAACAGCACAGCCGCCGCCATGACGACCGGCACCTTCAAGTACATCGACCTTGACTCCTTCACCGGCAAGCCGTGGGGCAAGGTCGACGTCGACAAGACGTCCTTCCAGAGGGTGGAGCGCCAGCGTTCCGTCGCCGACATGCGCGCGGCCGGGCTCGACAGCTTCTCCACGGAAACCGCCGGCTTTGGCGTCTACCACGCGCCCTCGCTTGAGAAGACCTTCACCGACGACGCCGCCGTGCGTGGGCCCTACTACGCCGAGGTCGAGGCCCTGCTGCGCGCAAAGTTGCCAGGCGTCGCCAGGGTCGTCATCTTCGACCACACCATCCGCCGTCGCGTCGAGGGCGCCGCCCGCCAGCCCGTGCAGCAGCTGCACGTCGACCAGACGCCCTGGGCCGCCGAGGCGCGCGTGCGGCGCCACGTCGAGGACCCTGCCGACGCAGACCGCCTGCTGCAGGGCCGCTACCAGATCATCAACGTCTGGCGGCCCATCGGCCACCCTGCGAGCGACTTCCCGCTGGCCGTTGTCGACTGGCGCACCACGCAACCCGACGACCTCGTCAAGGTTGACCTGCTGTACCCCGTGCGCGCCGGCGCCGACGACGACGGCGATGACCGCGGCAAGGAGGCTCTGCCCGACGCCGCGACCGTCGACTCGACCGACGGCTATGCCGCCCGCGGCGAGACGTTTGCCGTCGCGCCGAGCGACGCCCACAAGTTCTTCTACGTCAAGGACATGACGCCCGACGAGGCCATGTTCATCAAGTGCTTTGACTCGCGGAGCCAGGGGCGCCCGCGCGGCAAGCCGGGCCGCGCTGACTACACACCGCACACGGCGTTTGTCGATCCCCAGACGCCTGAGGGGGCCAAGGGGCGGCAGAGCATCGAGGTGCGGTGCCTCGTGTTCTACGAGGATGAGGCATGAGGCACGAGGTATGAGGCATGAGGCATGAATTATGTGGGCAAACCATAGGGATAAGCGAAAAACATCATGTTCTGGCCTTGGACTAAATTGGACTTCTTGTTTCAAAGGGGAAAAAAAGGGGGTATCTGGAAAAAGACTCCGCTGGAGCCGGCATATGTGCTGAAAACATGTGTATACGTGCGCTTGTGTGTACGTGTGCAAGAGTGCGGATGCCAGCGTCCGCCCATCCTGCACAACCTCCAACGCAAGAGCAGGCTTCTAGCCCAGGTCCTGCGAACGGTAGACGGCGACGTAGGCAACCTCCATCATGGCACCGTAGCCACCAAGCGTCTGGTCGTTAGGATCTCCAGGCTATCCACGTGTTAGTCACAAACTTCTATCTTGCACTGCGCAAGGTCGTTGCAGCGAGTGACTTACCAGGGTCCCGCCGACGGCGACGTTCAAGATGAAGTAGACGGGCGACTGACACAGCGCCTTCCAGATGCCCTCGCTGCCGATCCTCGCGCCGCTGACCTGGTGAAACTGCTGGCCGTCGCGGAACCAGGTGATGGTCTGGACGCGCCAGTCCGGCGCCGTGCGGTCAAACTCGAGCCGCCACGCATGCCAGTCCCCGTCCGGCAGCGCCGTCGGCGCCCCGATGCCCGTCGGCGTGTTGCACGCGCCGCCGCCCTCGCGGTCGCAGTGCACCGTCCCCGTCACCTCAGCCGCGCCGTTGACGCGCTCGAGTATGTCAATCTCGCCGCACGCCGGCCAGTCGACGCCGTGCCGCATCGCGTCCCCCAGCATCCAGAACGCCGGCCACAGCCCCTGCCGCGTCGCCGCGTCGTTGGCCCCGAACCGCAGCGTCGCCTCGGCGAACGTCACGCGCCCCGCCTGCGGCGTGAAGACGTACTTGCTCTCGATGCGCCCGCTCGTCCACTGCCCGCGCGCGTCGCGCCACGGCACGAGCTGCACGGTGCCGCCGCCTGAGATCTGCACGTTGCGCGAGTCCTCAGTGTACTTTTGCAGCTCGTTGTTGACGTGGATGTCCGTCATGTAGTTCCACGTCTTGCCGTCGACGCGGTCGCCGGCCGCGCCTGTGAACTCTTCCGACCAGAGCTGCTCGAAGCCGCCATACGTCGGCGCCGTCCAGGCTGCCGCCAGGGGCAGGGCTGCCAGGACCGTTGGCAGGAGGACGAAGCGCATAGTGGCGGGTGCTCGTTGAACGCTGAAAGTGAGCAATGTTGGTTTGGTGAAGGGTCAAGTGCCGCAAGAGGGTGTCTGGGCTGGCAAAACGCAATGAGTGAGGGAATAGAAAAGAAAATGAAGGGATACACAACTTGGTGCGCTTAAAAGAATGTCAGGCGCGACGTGAAAGGAATGGCACGTCCAGCGAGCTCGAGATGGTGAGGATGCCCAGCGGAACACGAGGATGGGATGAAAGATCCGAGGGTCGAAGTAGGGGGTTCGCCCCGACATTTAGATGGAGGTCACCATATATATGTGTAAACAGAACCAACCGACGACAATGCCGTCGAAACGCCAGATCAGACCAAGCCAGCGGAAACGCTTCACTCTCCCGAACAGGAACGCCCAAGCTCGCATTTCTCAACCCCCTTCCCTTTCTTCCTGGCCCAACAAGTCCAGCCCAGACCGATGCATTGCAAAGTCATCTCGGAGGACCCCCGCGGGACGGCAGACAAGCCCCCTCGGGGAGGTGAGCGTGAAACGGGGATCGACGAATGGCAGGCTTCAGAGGTGCTGAGCCAAGGGACAGCGGGAGAGCGCCAGCGGATCTGGGCCTGATCGGGGCAAGACGAAGAGCACGCACGCGGCAGGACAAGGGGGGTGGGCTTGTGGTCGTGGTGGGGTGATGAACAAGGTGGTTGAAACGTCAGGGGGTGGCCAATTGCGATGGCGATACGTGCCATGGCTTGCGGGAGTTTGTTGCGTTGGGCGGCGTGCGTGCGACGTGGCGAGCCGGCGCTTTGGAATTTCTGTCTCGGAGCCGTCAGTCACATCGCCGGGCGCACAGGTTCGTCTGGTGATTGGATAGGACCTTTCATGAGGCTATCTTGTAGAGCGTTGCCCAACAATGTAAGTCAGCAGATGCCAAGGTAGCGAGAGTGGTTTCATCAATGATAGAGGGCCAACGGAGGCCCAGGCCGGGGCTTCTGTCAGCTAGATTGCTCCCTCGCGTCACATTGCTTTGGTGGATTCGGTAGCGATGCCGACCTGGTCCGCGCATGAATTTCCTTGTCGGACGAAGACAGGATGACATGCCAGACAATCGCAGTGCTCTTCGATTTGCATGGGGATGGGTCAGTCGGATGAACCCAAGGGGTTGTGGCTGTACGAGCCCCAGGAGAGCTAGCATCGTGGACTCAGAGTTGCATGGCACACTCTACAGCTCGCATGGCAGACCGTCCCTTTACCCGCAGTCGAATGAACCGAATGCGCCCTTGGCATGTGTTTTCCGGGCACGGGGATCGAGGACAAGGCCAAGCCAGGGCCAAACACCAACGATCCTTTCACGGGGACAAACAAGAGACAAAAGGGGTGCCGCACTGGCATCTGAGTGTTCGACACCCCAACTGGACCGGCGGCGCTTCCTTTCCGACAATGCGCTCTTTATCAGTCGGTGGCCTCGCGCCGTGACAATGCGGAGGCCTTGGAAAAGGAGCTTGGGCGATGCCTCGTTTCAGACTCCGGCTTTGAATCCCTGTCTCGAGCCTGTTATTGGGCATCGCAATGCTCGTCGTCTTAAGGTGCCTTAGGTAATCACGTTGCCCCTATTCCTGGAGTCTGGGAGTGTGTGTTCTCGAAAGAATACAGGCCCCAGCAGCGATAAACATCTTCTGTTTGATGAGACCCATGTAGTCAAAGGCTAGAGTTTGCACTGCTTTTGCACTCATTCACGTCATCAACGACGTGTCTATTAGACCTACAACTCGTGCACGATGCCAAGACCGATTCAGCAGGACAGCAGGGATCGCCATTGATGCCATTGGCGCGCATCCAGCTGAATGGAGACTTACGAGGCAGCGCGATGATCAATGCCGTCCTTTACCCCAGAATATTCCGACTGTCCCCCGCATTCTGGGTCGAATGCCGAAATGCAGCGTCTGCTTCGAGTCGAGAGGTTGGCTTTGTCGTCAGAGGCCTGCACCTACCCCGCGAAGCTCGACTCGGCTCCTATGGGCTTGGATCGTGAAGATCCGGCCATGTGAAGCGCTCATCGTAGATTGGTGCGGAAGAGATGCATTCCTGGGTGTGTTCGGAGTCGTGGCAATAGTCTCGGACGAGAACCTATGCTTAAAAACGGCCATGTCTTCCTTCCACCCGCAGTTGACCAAATATTTGGCAGTGCATTCGTTGTCGAACTCTGTAGAAGCGCCCATCGTCAAGCCCCATAATCATGTTCGTCAGCTGGAAATCAACCCTATTCCAGAGCGTTCTTCTTGCGAGCAGCTCGTTGGCCTTTGAAAACCCTATCCGTGCTCCGGCCCCCGATCCTTCTCTGGTGACGGCAGATGGGGTGTACTACCTGTGCGAAATTCTCACTTTCTCATGGTCTCGGCGAACAGGCTTGCTGACCGCATCACAGAACATTCACCTCCTACGATAAGATAACCATTGTTCGATCAAAGACGCTCAACGGCCTGATCGACGGCGAGCAGCGAACAGTATGGACAGACACAAACACCACGCGCAACGCCAACATGTGGGCCCCAGAGCTTCATCATATTGACAATGTCTGGTACATGTTCTACTCGAGCTGCGACTCGGCTCAGCCCTGCTGTGACAGCTGCAGCACGAGGGTCCTGCGGGGCTGCGACAGTGCCGGGCCCTACGACTGCGAGTTTGAGCATCTCGCCGATCTGATCCCCCCAGAAGGGCAGCGCGGCGGTCGCGACGATAACTTTGCCTTCAGCATCGACGGCACCTTTCTCGAGGTACCGGGTTTCGGGCGCTACCATGTGCTGAGTATCCGTGACAAAGAGTTCAACCAGGCGCTGGCCATCACGACGCTCGACACGCATGAGTGGACGGTCGGCGCGTGGCATGTCATTTCCATTCCCGATCAGCCGTGGGAGCGGAACGTCACGGGAGCAGCTTCGATTCCGCAGGCCGATTTGGTCGGTGTCAACGAGGCCCCTCACGTAAGTGCTCGCAGTCTACCCCGACACCGCCACGACCCGTCAGCTGACCCCTATCCAGCCCCTTGTTCACGGGGACGATCTCTGGCTTTGCTACTCTGGGTCCAACTGCGGAACGCCCAATTACTCCCTGGGTCTCCTCCACTGGAACGGTGGCGACCCTCTGCTGGCCTCATCTTGGGACAAGACGGGCCCGGTCTTCGCACAGGCTAACGGTCTTTACGGCACGGCGCACAACTCATTTTTCACGTCTCCCGATGGCACAGAAATTTGGAACGCTTTCCACGCCACGAAGCAGGCTGGTGGTTCCTGCGGAGGGGATAGGTTCACATCGGCTCACATTGTCACCTTTGACGAGAACAACGTGCCAAGCTTTGGGGAGCCGCGCCCCATCGGTGAGGTCCAGGTGCCTCCCAGCGGAGAGCAGGCATGAGATGCATTTGCTCATCGGAACATTGTAAATAGACCGCAACTTATTCAAGCCAGCATGTGCGAATTCATACGAGACACACACCTCAGCAAAGCGCGCCTCTAAGACAGGTGCTCCAGGTCACACTCGAGAATCCACCTCATGACGGAGATCGCCATGTCCTTGGCTGCTGCCTCTGTCGAGGTCGCCTGGCCGTTATCCCAAGTCAACTCCTCGATCTGAGCTCGGTAGCCCGAGGCCTTTGACTGTGCACCCTGCTGAGACGAGATTCGGCCCTTGATCTGGAATTGCTGATTCGCGGTCCAGCTGCGATAAAGTGACACCAGGAAGATGCCGTCGGCGTCTGGTCCTTCTGCCCGGCTCATCCAGCGATCTTCCATGGAGAGCGGCTGAAACCCCTTGAGAAGTTTGGTGACGTCGCTCTGTGATAGGTCCAGTGTCCACTTTGAAACGATAGGATTCGGCATCGGATTGACTTTCCAGGTTTCCCCGACGACTCTTTCAAAGGGAACGCCAGGGAACCCTTGCGCGGGGGCTGATGTGGAAGCCATGTCGGTCGCTGCACTGTTCAGCGAGAAGCTGTCCTCAAAAGCGGACGAAAACGCAGAGCAAGCGTTGGTTAGTGACTGTAGGTTGACAACGCGGTTTCAGCTCTGTCGCCGGGAGCTGGGGTACTGCGACTTTATACCTCGGTATCTGCGAGCCAGCAATGCAATGAGGGCCTGGCTGTGATTGGTTTGCAATGTCCCCTCTTTGACGCACTATCGTGGCTTCAGAAGCTGAAGTTCATTCTCTCTCGGGCTGACTAAGATGCACGGCTTAGCCCGCTGAAGCTGACAACATGGCCTTGATAGCCCGCGGGGGTCGAAGTCAGATTGGACCAGTGCATCCGAAGTCATAGAGTTGGGTCGGTGGGATTGGTTTGCATCACTCTTGCAAGCAATTAACCCTGATGCCGATGGATGACGTGCGATTGAATCACGAATCGTGCTCTTATGTATGAGCGGTCTGCAACAACCTTCATTGTAGGAGGAAACCTTTCTTTTGGGGCCGGGGCGGTAATGAGATATAACGATGACACAGACAGTAGAGGCACGATTCATGTTGCTACACGATCTGCATATACTCATACCGGATAAGGACCGTAGGGTCTCCCCCCCTCTACAGACTTGGAATATGAGTCTGATGCATGACGTTGCCTGAGCTTCAAGTATCAAAAGCCTCGCGGCCTGCGCAGGCTTGTGAACTAGTCGCGGAAGCGTTTGAAGACCCAAACAATGTCCTGATCTCGCAATAAAGGCATTGCCAAACGACCACCGAGTCTGCTCATGAAGCTATGCGTCATGTGTCTTAGATCTTCTCATAGGTTAATTATCAAAGTTGATTTACATACAGGTGACGACGATGTCAACGGTCAGCGAGACAACGCTGAAGCATAGAAAGCATTCGCGGACGAGTGAATTAGATTGCATTCCGTCATTTACTTCGACTTGAATCATATGCAAAGTCATACGAGGACAACGATATGATTGATCCATCAACCTAGGCTTTCATTCGTGGCGTGTTGAAAAGGGGATTGTACAGTCGCGTATGTATTCGAATACAAGGCCAGCAGAACAAGGCGCTCGATGTGCAAACGGGTGCGGATAGCTCGTGATGGAGACCAGCGTATCAAGCAATCAGTAGCCCCATAGCAATTAGCTTGAGCAAGGGTGAAAATGTGTTTCCGATCCTTTTAAAAAAAGAATCAGCATGATCGAATGTAGGTGGTGGCGGCTGGGGTCATCATTGCCATCCGGCACATTGGACTCTAAATAGAGCGTCGCATGATGACGAGGAATCTTCCTCGCGTTAGAGAGGACGGTTGGTAGTGTTTTGACCAAAGAAGATCTTTAACGGTGATCCGTATAATGGGACCTGACGTCCACGAGCAGTGTTACACAATGCCGAGACCTCGCGACTCAGCATCCGACAACCCCGACGGCATACGGCTCCGTGGCCCTGACAGGCACAAAGCGGATCACTTTTAATTGACAGACCCTCTTTCGAGCTCGAAATCAACCTTACTTGGGCGACTTCCGTGCGTTTTCATCATCGCATCCCCGCATCACCCCAGCACCCGCTACCCAGTATGCCGGAGCCTCCCCCTCCGCGACAGCCGAATCCGCGCCCGGGTCCGACGTCCCGCCCGTTTTCCAATAATTGCAGATGATCTCTGAGCTAATTACCACGCACCCCATCGCGCCATCTCGTTCCATGGCATATAAGGACAGGCTGGTAGACGGGCGGCCTACTGCCACCCAAGCCCGGGGTGCAGGGACGGATCTTCTAGCCGAACCAGACTTGACGAGTCGATTTTCATCACTGAGCCATGCGGTCAATTGCTTTCTACCTCCAGTTCGCGCTCGCCGCGGCGGCAATCGTCAAGCGATGCCCTCAGCAGCCCGAGGAGCCTGGCACGGGGAACGCGACAAAAGTGTATGAGGCCGAAGATGCTACACTAGTCGGCAGCACAAGGGTCGCGACCGAACTCGCTGGTTTCACTGGTGAGCAGATGCCTTCCACTTAGGAATAGAGAGTAGACAAGATTCTTCTGCTGACACGACGTCTCAGGCACTGGCTACGTAACTGGCTTCGAGGGACCCAACGACAAGCTCACCTTCACTGTTACGAGCGCGAAGCAAGGCCTCTACGACCTTACCATCCGCTACGCCGGTATCTACGGCAACAAGTATACCAACATTGTCCTCAACAACGGCGGCACTGAGCAGGTCTACCTTCCCGAGACCACTGACTTCCAGAATGCTGCTGGCGGACAGGTGCTTTTGAATGCTGGCGACAACACTATTGACATCCTGACCCACTGGGGATGGTGAGTCCCATCCGATCTCTTGATGGTGTTTTGCACTAAGCAGATAGATAGGTACCTCATCGACTCGATCACCATTGCACCCACTGCCCCTCGCGGACCGCACAACGTCAACGCCAACCTCGTGAACCCCAATGCCGACGCCCCGACCAAGGCCCTCTACAGCTACCTCCGCTCCATCTACGGCAAGAAGATCCTCTCAGGTCAACAGGAGCTCGAATGGGCCGACTGGCTCCAGCAGCAGACTGGCGAGACCCCGGCTCTTCTCGCGGTTGACCTCATGGACTACTCTCCTTCCCGTGTCGAGCGTCAGGGCCAGGTCGCTACCACTGTCGAGGACGCCATCGAGTTCCACAACCGCGGCGGTATTGTCTCGGTGCTTTGGCACTGGAACGCGCCCGTTGGTTTGTACGACACCCCGGAGCAACGCTGGTGGAGCGGTTTCTACACGGCTGCCACTGACTTCAACGTGGCTACTGCTTTGGCCGACACAACCAACGCCAACTACACGCTTCTGATCCGTGACATTGATGCCATCGCTGTTCAACTCAAGAGGCTCGAGGATGCTGGTGTTCCCGTACTCTGGCGCCCACTTCACGAAGCCGAGGGCAAGTGGTTCTGGTGGGGTGCCCAGGGCCCCGAGCCCGTCAAGAAGCTGTGGAACATTCTGTATGAGCGCCTCGTCAACCACCACGGTATCAACAACTTGATCTGGGTGTGGAACTCTGTTGAGGCGGACTGGTACCCAGGTGACGCGACGATCGACATCCTCAGCGCAGACGTCTACTCCCAGGGCAACGGCGTAAGTTGAGGAACTGCAAGCGGGAGAGAAACCAGGCTAATTGACGTCACAGCCCATGTCCGGCTTGTACAATCAGCTCGTCGAGCTAGGCAACGATAAGAAGCTGATTGCGGCATCGGAGGTTGGCGCCGCGCCGCTTCCCGATCTTCTACAACTTTACGAGGCTCACTGGCTATGGTTCGCCGTGTGGACCTCGCCCTTCATCAACGATCCTGCGTGGAACAGCCTCGATGTTCTTCGTGAGGTAAGAATTGGCCGAAAGAGCTGCAGAATTGCTGAACGCTTTGCTAACAGCCATACACAGGTTTACGGCAGCGATTATGTTCTGACGCTGAGCGAAATCCAAGGATGGCAGGCAGCACATAGCTGAACGCTCCACCCTTGGATGAAAGTATGGCCTGTATCCTGATTGAATCGCAAGTGCGCGTCTGTTTCCCATTCGTATAGTGGCCAAGCCACGGATGTGGGAGCAATTGGCATCTTAGCAGCACTTGTGTTTGGATATATCCAGACAGCGAGTAAGACACAGAATTGACGTGTACCTGCTCATGCCCAGGCTGCGATGTAGATAATCAATATGCACAATTGATGAAGAAACGTGTGAGCGTTCTTTCCCCTCGTATGGGCGCCTGATTCGTTCTCCATGGCCTATTGTAGAGGACACATCTCTAGTTCGAAGGCAGTACAAGGTTGCACCTCGAGATCGATCTGCATCACGACGAGCGATTGCAGACGCCCAGCCCACGCAGTCTCAGCTGTGCTGATACCGCCATATACTGACCTCCGCCTGCTCGTGAGGGGTAGCCAAGGTTCAGCAAGGGCATACCATGCTTTCCCGGAATTATACCCTGTTAGGTCGTGACCGGAATGGAGATTCATGCAGCGACACCACCTCTAACCAGTGATGATCTTCACCCTACCTAACCTTATCACAAGTATGAACCCAGCACTGGCCTCGGAATCGGGCTTTTCACCCAGGCACATCGAGTACTCAACGGCCACGGCGCATCTCCAGCTGGATCCGCAGTAGCATCTGCGTGCTTCGCCGTCTGTCAACACGTCAGGTGCACTTGTAACGTTGCCGATGCGGCCGCTCGGTTGTTGGAGACCACTTGGCGCCCGTGGAGCTTTATCTTCCAGCGCATTGCTACGTGACCCCTGTTTTATTGCTGGGTGCAGCTTGGACTACGACTCATCGACGTCGCCACAAGTTCTCTTCTTCACGTCTTTCCGCTGGAAATCAAAGCCCGAATCAGGAATGGCGACGCGATGCCAAGGCTGGGGTTCAGATCTCGCAATGATAAAAACTCCAAAGTCCGCTAGACGTTTGTTAAGGTCCTAGTTAACCAGCTCCAGGAAATAGCAAATCAACATGGACATCATCAGCCTTGTGATCTTAGCTTTCATCCAGGCAATCTGTGCCCAGCTCTCCGTTATTCCTAGTGTCGTATTCAGCTCGACAGGCGATGGGACTTTGGATGTGTTGAGCTTGTCCAATATCATTGTTGATAACAAGTTTGCAAATTCTCGCGATGAGGACGGCGCAACACTTATCCCTCCAACCCTCGCGGAGTTCGCCGACACATTCTCGCAGGATTTAGCTTCAGTTCTCGATTGGAGACTGTCAGTTGAAATTGCCGGTTCAACTAACTCATCAGCTATTTTTTTAACCATAGGAGACCCAAGCGACTTTCTCGACGTAGCTGGGCGACCTACATCAGAGGGCTATTCACTGGAATTCTTTCCTACTGGCATTACCATAACCGGTGCAAGCCCACTCGGTGTCTGGTGGGGCACCCGTACACTCCTTCAACATCTTGTGGCAAATGGCACTGGGACGGCTCCCCTTGGGCGGGTCGTAGATAACCCTGGCTGGGCCACGCGGGGGATGATGGTGGGTGCTGATGGCCAATATGATACTCTCCTTGCTGATTTTATTTCTAGCTTGACGTCGCCCGACACTATTACCCGGTTGAGTTTTTGGAGGAAATGTGCGCGTACATGTCTTTTTACAAGCAGAATACCTGGCACATGCACCTTAGCGACAACCTTTGGAACAACGTCCGTTTGTATAGCTACGAGCACCAGCAGGGGCTCTATGCCGCCTTCCGACTTTGGTCGGATGATCCGGCTGTAGAAGGCCTCAACACCCGCCGGAATGAATCTTACACTCGGGAGGAGTTTGATCGCCTGCAGTACACCTGCGCTTCTCGTGGAGTGACAATTCTTCCTGAGATTGAAGCGCCAGGGCATGCTTTGGTCATCTCTCAATGGAAGCCTGAGATTGCTCTTCCTACTGACATGAGTCTGCTCAACATATCACACCCGGATACAATACCGACGGTCAAGGCGATCTGGGAGGTCTTTCTGCCATGGTTCCACACAAAGGTTGTTCACATGGGAGCTGACGAATATCGGCACCCAACACTGTCCGACGAGTTTCTGGCCTCCGAATACACCCGCTTCGTCCAGGAGATCAACGACTTCATCGTTGCGAAGTCTGGCCAGCAAACCAGGATTTGGGGAACTTTCCCTCCCCGCCAAGGTGGCAACACAGATAAAGAGGTCTCGATCCAGCACTGGGCACCCTGGGAAGCCAACCCACGCTGGGACTTCCTTCAAAATGGCTACAAGATTCTCAACTCCGGCGACCGAGCCTACATAGTGGGTAAGTGGTCGGAGCCGTACCCTCAAGAGCTCAACCTTGATTTCATCTTCGGCGGCAATCCCGAGGGTGGCCCGTTCTATCCGAACATCTTCGATAACAATAATGCGACCAACAATGCTCCTCTTGACGATCCAAATATTCTAGGCCACATTGCTGCCCAATGGAACGACTTCGGACCGAACGCGACAACAGTCCTCGAGGCCTACTACCAATGGAAAGACGGCATTGCAGCAGTAGCAAATCAGCAGTGGGGCAGCAGGCTCTCTCGCGAAGACTATGCCGACTTGTATACTGTCCTCCAGCCCCACGCTCCTGGACAGAACCTTGATCGGCGTATTCCCTCAGTCGGCCCTACCATTCTGGATTACGACTTTGTCAAAGGTCGTCGCTGCAACGGCAAGTACAAAGATGCGTCTGGAAACAACTACCATGCGGATTCGACATGTTTCAATTCAGGCGAAGGAATCATTCTACAGCCTGGGTGCGAAGTGACTACGCCCCTCGACTCTAAAGGCCGAAACTATACTCTGAGCTTCAGAATCAAACCAACCAGTGACGCCAAAGGACCTATTCTGAGAGGCAGAGATAGCGAACTATGGTTCGGGAATGGCACCTCGAACGCTGTGATGCTATTCTCGGGAGAGAGTGCGTATGCCTTGAACTATACGTTCCCTATCGGCGAGTGGACAGAGGCAAGTCTCGCAGGGAAAGGCAAAAGTACGTATCTCGATGTAGGTGAGGGGCCGATGGAGTTTCTGACAATACTTGGCTGGGAGGGGGACAAGAATGTGTGGACGTATATTGGCATTGAGGCGCCTCTGAAAACTATTGGCGGTGGAAGTTTTGAAGGTGTAATTGGCAAGATGAAACTCGTCGATGGTGCCTAGGGATATTGCATCAATTTATTAGGACAGACATAGAGCGAGTTTCTACTTTGTCATGACCATTCCTTTACAAGGTTGCCATAAGCCATGGATGATTACCGAGCATGCTGAAGTCTAATAAGGCACCTGTCTATCGCCAGTCCCAGAAACTGAAATAAATCGAAAGGAAGCAGAGCTAGAGTAGCCTGGAAGTTGTTGTCCCATTATTTAGCGAATCAAATGGGTAGGTTACTGTGTGCAATGGAACTTTGAGTCTACTGATTTGGGGCCAGAAGCCTTGGTCATGCTACTCTGAGTCGAGCTCTGGGTAGTGCCTGTAGATGCCGTCTGCGTACTTCTGCCTTCTCTCACTTTTAAGGTATTCCTTGATGTTGGGGCGTTCCTTGACAGCATCGTAGAGCTTAAAAACTCCATTGTATTTGTTACTGTCCTGCAGTTTGGTCAATGCCTTGGGGAAGGCGAATTTGACGCCGTCAATGCACTGGCATACGATTAGCAGCCGGATTTCAGTCGAACGAAATTGAACCCACTTGGAATAAGACCAGATCAGCGTACGTGAGCGATCCGCCATATAGCCACGGTCCCTCTCCACTGGCCTCACCCTTGAGCACGCGCTCAAAGTAGCCAAGGAATTTAGGAAGTCTGATTTCAACGTAATCCTTTGCCCTTTTCTTCGATTCCTCCTTCTGGTCCTCATAAGTGAGGCCCATAGCGATGGGGTGATGTGTGTCGTGGACCTCGTTGCTCAGGCCATCTAGAGCTGTAAGAGCCAGCTGGTTGACGTGATAAACTCCGTCATTCTCATCTCCGGGCTTGGGGGCTAGGCCGTGACGGACTCCGAGATACTGGAGAATGTTGGGCACCTGTGCGATGAGAAGGTCGCCGTGTATCAGGATTGGCGGTGCGAAAGGAGGAGGATTCGAGGCGTCCCCTGTGTTGGTGTCGGCGGTATGCTTCAACACCTCGTCGACTCCATTCTCAGCTGCTGCTGTGTCTGTGTATGAGGCTCCGGCTTCTTCAAGGACGAGGCGAACATGCTCTCCCCGCCCGGGAACGCCAGGCCAGTAGACGAGGCTGTAGGAGACATCCTTGGCCGTCTTCGTTCGCTTCGCAGATGGAGATGTAACAGACATAATTCTTGTACGTGGATCGTGGTTTCTGGTATCGTATCAATCGATGAAGAGAGAGATTGAGATTGAGATTTAGATGCTAACAGGACGTCGCGTGCGAAGTTCGAGTCCGACGCCGAAAGCGGCTGAAACATTGCCGACCCATAGTGTGGGGTAAGGCGCCGGAAGTGATGTCATGTACCCGGAATCGACTGTCGCTGCCTCGGATTGCCCTATTTTGACGTCAAAATGGTGTAACCTTGTTTTTGATGGAGAGGTCTCTACTCCGAACCGGATGAGAGGTATGCAAGCCCGAAATCAATCGTAGCACGCAGGATAGGACATTGGGTTGAAGTGTGTTCATTGAAGACGGCTGGCACTGCCACACAACGCGCCGCGATTTCATTCCACCACTAAATCTATCAACAAAGAAAGAAAAGAAAATGATCGAAATTTACTACATACTGTGTCCATTATGAGGCATCTAGAACTCGTAAAGCTGCTCCAATAAATTGAGGTCATTACTTTAAGCCAGTGACCAATGCTTGATAATACTTGAAAGGTTTGATTGGCATGATATGCGCTCGTAATTGAGTGTGTCTGCTGTGAAATCCTGGCTTATTATGTGGATTCATGTAGCAGTTTGATCGTGATGTCCAGGGATCGCAGCGAATTACCTGACAAATCGGTCAACGTCACGTAAAGATCGCGTCTTACCAACCCCGCTCATCAAAGGACTGGGTGCATTCTGTTGATTTCGATGCGCAGCGCCAGCCCTATTGAGATCGTACCAATAGTGGCTGGACTTCTGCCGCAATTACCGAACGACTTGGCTTCCCCGGACTTTCTACCCCTCGTTGAGTCGGATTCGCTTTCGGCTGAATCCGTTGGACCACGACTGCCGATTTCTACGATATATGCTGCTGCACATGCCGAGTCTGGCTACGAAAGCAGTATCGTGGCTTGCAGCCAGACCAAATGTAATTGTCCAGGTTTGTGACGGCCGGCTACGGCTCATGCTAACATATGTGGTATTGAGCCCTGGTCTGTGAGATGCATACTGATCTCCGCACGTCTCGAGTCATGGCACACTGCATGTCATGACAAGAGAAAGCAAAAGCCCCGGTTTGTGTCAGTGTCTGGGCGAGAACCCTCGATTGCAGCTGCAGTAGCACCGCTCTTCTTGCTCGACCAAAGTCACGTCTGAAAGATTCGTCTACCTAGCTGTTCGGTCCATCGAATCGTGAATCAAGCGCAGTTTGGCTGTCATCTGAGAGAATTCGTATCAGTCCATGAGGAGGCTCGGGCAGCGAACCCTCCTACCAAGTTTTACGGGAACATCATGTGAACACAAGCCCCCAGTAGGGGTTTCTCCTCCACGCCCAGTCCTTTGTTCTCGGAGTAATTATTAGGGACTCCAACGAAACTCCACTGAGTTTAGCTTGCCGTGGGGTATTGACCGCCAGCAACACACGAAACTCGCCCTAGCCTGATTGAGCAGTGCTGCCGCCAAATTGCAACTACCGAACCAGGGCGTCGTCAGCCAACTCCCCGCTTCCAAAAACGCCCCTTCCGATTTCTCCTGAGACTCGGCATAGATACAAGGCAATCCATATGAAGTACCTGACATTTCTGGTTGATCAAATGGTATGCCGGGTTAAAATGGGATTACCAGTGATATAAAGGCAGGATCTTTTCGGATGCCAAGTGATTCGCCTGCTCCTGGTGTATGCTATTTCGCGTATAACTCTCTACCCATCTCTCTGCTCAGGCTTAAGATCAACCTTGAAAATCAATTCATTCTTTTGAAACAGTTTAGGCAGCATGGTTCGATCTGGTCACCTAATCCTCTCGTTGGTTGGGTTGGCAGAAGCGACATGCAACCCCCCTATCAATAATGCCGCTGTATTTAAGGAACGATGTCGGAACTTGCCAGCATTTCTCAAGATTCCAAACTCCAACACGACATCAACGGAGTTTGTGCCTGCAGGAACTACACTCCTCTTCCCAAATGCCGTGCCAAGCTGTGGTCGCACCTCTCAAAATGTTACCGTCGATCTCTGCCGTGTTACGGCCGAGGTGGCAACCTCTGCTCAATCGGGTATCAAAATGGAGACTTGGCTGCCGCTGGACTGGTCTGGGAGATTTCTGAGTACCGGCAATGGTGGTCTGGGAGGGTGCATTCAATACGAAGACATCCAGTACGCCACCTCACTGGGTTTCGCAACTGTCGGTACTAACAACGGACACGACGGCGGAGATGGATCGACATTTACTCAGCTCGATGTTGTAGAGGACTATGCCTACCGTGCGCTACATACTGGTGTCGTCCTCGGCAAGCAAGTCTCCAGAACCTTCTATGGCAGACCCCACACAAAAAGCTACTACCTAGGCTGCTCTACGGGTGGACGTCAGGGTTTCAAGGAGGCCCAGAGCTTCCCTGACGATTTTGACGGCATCGTTGCAGGCGCTCCGGCATTTTCTTTCAACAATCTTACGTCCTGGAGTTCATTCTTCTATCCCTTGACCGGTCCACCGACCGCCGATACCTTTGTGCCATTTAGTGTATGGCCCTTGATCACGAAGGACATTCTGAAGCAGTGCGATCACCTTGACGGCGCTGTCGATGGGATTCTGGAGTCTCCAGACCTTTGCAACTATGATCCATCTGATCTACTCTGCGCCGAGGGTCAAAATAGCCCCATATGCCTGACGCAAACACAAGCAAATACGGTGCGAAGCATCTACTCTCCTCTACGCGACGTCGAAGGGAGCTTTGTCTATCCTGGCATGCAACCCGGCGGCGAGTCCACCGAGGCTGTCTTCGCCATGTTCAACGGCAAACCTTTTGGTGCGTCAGACTGGTGGAAGTACGCTGTCTTCAACGACTCGAGCTGGGATCCCCTGACGTTGAAGAGGGAGGACTTTACTGTCGCTTCGCACCTCAACCTCTTCAACATTGACACGTGGGAGGGCGACCTTTCAGCGTTCCAGAGGAAGGGCGGCAAGCTGCTTCACTACCACGGCCTGACTGACGGTATCATCACCAGCGAGAACTCACCTCGATACTACGAGCATGTTTCGCAAACCATGGGGCTTTCTCCTCCCGAGTTGGATGAGTTTTATCGCTTCTTCCGCGTTTCGGGCATGGCGCACTGCTTCGGTGGACCTGGTGCCAGCAACATCGGCAACGGAGGATTCACCCCGCCAGCCAGCCTCGAGCCTGAAGAGAACGTTCTGATGGCCATGGTGCAATGGGTGGAGAAGGGCATCGCGCCGGAGTATGTGGTCGGAACTGCCTTTATCAACGGTACGCAGAGCGCTGGGGTTGATTACAAACGGCGACACTGCCGCTGGCCCGCGCGCAACGTGTATCAGGGTCCCGGCGACGTCAAGGACGAGAATAGTTGGGCGTGTGTTCAGTAGACGTGATGTCACGTGGCTGTCGTGGTGTACATTCTGAAGTGTTTCCTCATATCTTCGTTACGCACTGCCCGCTGCTGGCAGTGCTGTGTATATCCGACTACGTAGCTTTGTCGTGGCTCGTTCACAGATCTCGCAATAAAACTCAAACATGCACTACCTCCCGCCAGCGCTACCTAGTCCTGCCCTTCTCACGAAACATTGCGTTACTCCTTCCTCTCGAACTGCTCTGACTCGATGTACTTCTTCTCGTCGGAGACGGAATCGGTTCGCTCGGGCACGAGCTCCTTGCCGCGCAGCTGGGCCCAGACGGCCTTGTGCATGGGCTTCATGAAGAGAGCATCCATCTCCTCGAGAGTAATTCCTGGAGGTCAAAGTTAGCACCGAGTAATGGTACAACGCGAGGAGGTGGAACAGCTTACCCTTGGTCTCAGGAACGAAAATGAAGGCCCAAATACCCATGCAGACAAGAATGGCGCTGAAGAAGAAATAGGCACCATAGCCGAGATCAGAAATCATGTAGGGCGTCGAGCGCGCAATGATGAAGGAACCGAGCCAGGTGTCGGCGGTGGTGATGGCGACGCAGAGCATACGGATGTCGAGGGGGAAGATCTCGGAACAATAAGTCCAGGTGATGCCTTGCCACGTGGCACAAATGATGAAGCCGTTGACATAGACGCAGACCATGGCGAGGTAGCCCCAGGCATCGCGGTTGACGACACCGGCGGCGGCAGCGCCAGCGGGATCGGCCCTCATAACGTAGCCGCCAATGTACCACATGGGAATGCAGCCGAGTGCGGCACCCCAGATGAGGCCCTTGCGACGACCGACCTTTTCGACGACGTAGAAGGTAAAGCAGATCATGCCGAGCGTCTTGGCAATGCCGTAGAAGCCGGTCGAGAACAGGCGCAACGAAGTACCGGACACGCCAAGCGTCTCGAAGATACGGGGTGCGTAGTAGGTGATGATGTTGACGCCGGTGAAACTCTGGAGGAACATGAGCGCCATGCCAATGCCCATGCGGTTTCGTGTGCCCTTCTGGAAAAGCTTCTTGAACTGCTGCTTCTTGCTCATGCGCATAGTCGATCGCTCCTCAACCTGCTGGCGGATCTCGCCCATCTCGCGGCGGACGTATTCGTGGTCGCGGTCGAGGCCGCGCAGTCTGCAGAGGATACGCTCGGCGCCTTCAAAGTCGTCACCTCTGGCGAGCCAGCGGGGAGACTCGGGACACCACCACATGCCGAAGAATAGACCGACACCGGGAACCAGCTGCAGAGCGAGGGGGATGATCCATTGGGCTTGCGATTCAACGTCGATAGTCTGGTCTGTTGCGTAGTTGATCCAAAAGCCCAGCATGCCGCCGCCTTGGGAAGCAATTTCGAAGATACCGACGAGTCGACCACGAATAGACGGCGGTGCTGTTTCGGCAATGTAGACGGGGACGACGAGAGAAGAAGCGCCAATGCCGAGACCGGCGACGGCGCGGCCTGCAATGATCATTTCGAGCTTGCCGTGGGCGGCGGTCATGAGAGTACCTCCGATGAGGAAGACGAGAGCGGCGAGCATGACGGTCTTGCGACGACCCCATTTCTCGGCAAGCGGGAACGTGAGAAGTGCGCCGAAGAAGCAGCCGGCTTGGAAGGTAGAGACAATGTTGCCTTGGACAGTATCACGGTGAGATTGGGACTTGCCAGCGAGGTCGAAGTCGCGGCGGAACGAGTCAAGCGCCATGGTGCCGCCGATGACGGCCGTATCGTAACCCACTAAATGCTGTCAGCATGGCACTAAATGGCAAGGCCTGCCTGTTGTAGACGACGCAAAGATTGGCTTAACATACTGGCGAGAGCAGAGCAGGAGGCGACAAGGGCGACAAGATGGATGCGCCAGTTGCGAACCTCGGGGGGATCAAGAGTCCCGGAGGCGTGGGTGCTCCAACCCATGATGGCGATGATGTAGAGTGAAACACTCTGCCTGAATAGTTGACTAGACTTCAAGCTGCGCAGTCGAACTCGCTGAGAGACCGAGTAAGCCGGAGACGAGAGAAAATTCGCTTCTCGGGTGGAGGAGAGGTTGCTTCGTCAGGGTCTATCTGGATCCAAGACTCGTGGGCTGCTCCGTCGTATTATATAGGCGAGCCCTTGGTGCCCCATCGCTTGAAATTCTCCATGGAACCCACCCCCAGAACCAGGGTCGGCGTGAGATGTGAGATGGACTGGAGCACGAGATGCCGCGCCGTCGATGGCGCCGGCCAACGACCGTGAAGCATGCACCCTGGAGAGGTCCGTGGCGGCCCGGTCTGGGGGAGAGTCGGACTAGCTTGGGCAGAATACTACGCTGCTACCCCGCGCTTCCCACGTCGCGAAGCACAAAAAGGACGGGGATCTGGTCGCGCTGGCAGCGGCAAGCTTGGGCTGGCGTGTGGGGATGGACTGAATGTTGATCTGGGGGAGGGGGCGGTTAGGGGCGACTAGAGTCAGAGATTTCCGGGGAAATATCGCGAGGCAAAGAAGGGATCATCGCGATAGAGGCATGGCGGACGGCAGGGTCATTTCGTTACATGGTCACACTTGTACATGGTGTGAGTGCTGGTCTTGGCACTCAAGACGATTGGACCAACGTCGGGATCCGCGAGTCAATGGGTGGTAAGATATTCATGAAGATTGAGGGTTTGTAGTCGATAGGTCGGCATTTCCGAGGTTGGATTACCTCACGGTGCATATGATGTGCCAGCAGAAAGAAAATGAGGTTGGTAATGGGAGGCATGGACTTGCTCAATGATGGTCCCGAATCTGGCATGATGGAGGCGCATGCAGCCGAACGAAGAATGGAATCAAGCGTGCAGACTTGCTGACAGTCTCGAACTCCGTCCTCGCGTGCTCTTCTTCGCGCCCGCAATGGTAGCCGCCGGCCTTGCGAGTTTCCGCTCCAAACTGAAGTAAACGGCTACACGGTCCAACGCCAAGCGGCCACACCAGGTTCTTGGTGTCGGACCAAATCCCGCCCTAGATGGAGCCGCACTACCCTCGTGATGAAGCTAGACCATTGCTTAAGCTTAAGTCGGTGGGTCAGTCCAGGTTCACCGCGGGGTTTCGACACAGGGATTGGGCGGGAGAAGCGCACACGATGCATCGCAACCAGGGGGCTATGTCGTGAAATCTGCATTTCGGCCAGTTTCCGAGCAGCGGCAGTTGGCTGGAGCCTTCCTCAGGTCTGTCGTGAAGTTTCACAGCTGGGAAGCGGCAAGGAGCCATGGCGGTTGTGGCGTGCTGAAGTGCAATGTCGAGTCCCGAAGTTTTCCGCGTGGGTGACCCAGTCAGTGGTGGACTAGAAGCACGGAAAAGTCGCCAGAGTTTCTTGTCCTGAAGCAATTTCTAAGCTTGTGATCCGTAGTTTAAAACGGGGGATGACCGAGAGTCCCATTTGCTAAAGCCAGGAAATATGTGTCGAAGCTCGGACAGCGGCCGAATGTTGCATCTCGGCATGCGTCTTGAGGCTCGACAAGCAGTGCCAGGGTCGGAACTTGGCCGACTCTTGGCGACGGCCGTAGATGAAGGGTGCGGGCCAGGCTGGCTGCCGGTGGCCATTCCGCTGAACAACACGAAACTACGACTTTTGAAAGCACGGGAGTATTCGTAACGCTCGCGAAGAAGACTTGGAATCCCTTCAGTTTGATCTTTTTTTTTTGATCGTCTTGCTTGCAGAGGCAATGTATCGCGCCGAATGCTTTACACAGACCAGCATCCCCCAGCGCTCAAGGATGCGCATGGTTGTGGCAACATGGCGGGCATACATTTAGGCTCCGCCTGTTGACCCGGATGGATCCCGGCCGTCAGCTTTTCCGACGGTAACCCAACCACCACCACATCGGCCATTACCCACAACACCGAGGGGAGTATATCACACACCTACCTAACCAGCGCGAATAATCCCTAGCGTCGGCCATCCTCCGGCGGTTGTCTCCACTGATCCCGCAACATGGCCTGATTGCTACACAAGAAGTTGTGAAATATCAAGGGAGAAGTGTAAATGAGGTGTGCTGAAACGATCCCTACAACGTGAGAAGCGCCGTTAACAGCAAGCATTATTCGGTTCCCATGTCTTTTGACGACTATCGCATCTGTTGGCGGATGAAATAGTACAAGTCGCCGAGGAAGCCCAACGCTATTACCCCAGACACATCCTGATTTCCCCAGATTGTCAACTTTTCTTTCCTTTGTTTCTCTTCATCGCGTCGAACCCCACCTCACCCACCATAGCAGATGCGCTGGCTGGCGCTTTTCGCCGATTCTCGTTGCTGTACATCTCCACCACGCTACATCTGGCCCTACTCGTGCCCATACTACTGTGACAGTCTGCGACGCTCCCTCCGAAGTTTCTCCAGCCATCCTTCCCGCGACTCGATTGCCCAAAGGCAAAAGGGTGTCAATATGGATGAGGCTTCGAGCGCGGGAACAACACCGAGAATGACGTCGCACACCGATGTCTTAAAAGGGAGGATTAGCGACGATCCCCCAGGGCCGCCGTAGCGCCACATGCGTGGCCCCTGAAAGGGGTGGTGTTCAGAGCCTCGGTCTTGTGCCTTATCGGTAGCTGTAGCCAGGGGCCTGCGTACGGGCTTGCAGGGGCGCTACAGGGGCGCTGCAGGGGCTCTAGCCGGGCCAAAGTGCTCCGTTTTGTTCTCACACGTGTGCTAACGACAGCCTACTTCTGTGTGAGTTCGCGGCCGAGGATACGACGTCCTTGGGTGTTGGTAAAGTAAGCCTGGCTATCAAAGTTAATGGGTAGCGATCTTCATACTCGTAGGTGATGAAATGCTGTACGAAATCCGTACTAAGACAAATTGATGGATTGCATGATCATCTCTAGTGCGGGGAGATTGACAAATGGATAACTCAAGACGTAGATGATGCCAAAAGGAGTCCAAAATGTGAAGGTTATGAGTTCCGCTACGATGCCGCCCATATCCCGAAGTCTACCAATGGCCAATCTCTTGGATCATTTGACGAGTTCCATGCCTTGTCGGATCAGAGGACAGGTAGCCAATTGCGCGCTAGGCGATCCGCCCAGAGTTCTGCTGTCACAAAGGTGCCATCGTCTCGAAACATGCGCCCTATCCCATCCACTCGAGATATTTCTTTTACGCCAATACTTAGAAGCGAGACAATAGAGAAGTTCTTGGTGTAAGGATCAACAATATAATATCTCCAATTCCCACAGTATTCGATGGCTTGGTCGCTCTTGCAAGTTGCTCCCTAGCATGTCCATCACTTCCAGAGAAGCCAGATTCAGTGTCTCAAGCACATACCTGAACGAGTTGGACATTCCGGGCCCATATATGCTTGAAGACGCCGAGACGATCTGTATGATATCAGCTAAGAAGTGATGACATGTCGTGAGCCGTGTGTTGGGCGCCGCTCGGGGTACAGGAACATGGGCACGTGAGCCTCCCGCCTTGATGCTGATCGGCCCCTCTAATACACAAAGGTTTGGCACTCATAACATAGATTCAGAATCCGTTATACGAGCCTTCTGTGAAGATGTCACGCTGTCTTGAACCGGCTTTCTGGATATTTGTGACAGGGTTTCGGCGGCGGAGAGCCCGCAACTTGAGGAAGACTCTCGAAGCATTACGTATTCAGGTCAAATACTGACAGCTCGGCAGAGCGCACCAAGAGCTCAGGGTCTGGGGATCAACCAAAAATTCTCATTATTTATTGTTCATCCCGTCTGTACGGCTTGTATACTGTGGATGGTAAAGGCGGTAGTGGCCGGTCCGCTATACTTGGAGGAACCGAAAAGTGGGAAGCCTGATGTAGGGAAGGCGTCCTCATCGATGGGGTGTAGTACGACATCAACTCCGGTGACAAAACGCTGCTGCTTGCAATGCTCGTACCCCCCGAACTTGCTATGCTCGTGACGCTCTGCCTCTGCTTGGCAAGACTCTGCCTGGCGAGATTTTGCCTCTGCTTCTGAACCGGCTTCCTGCGAATCGCCGGCGGTGAAAGTCCCGTAGCTTGGAACTTCTCTTGCGGCAGCACTAAAGGCTCAGGCCAGCTAGTAAGGGGGTCGGGGCTGGGGATGGGACTGGGCTGCGGCGAGTCAGCGTCCATCATTCTCATCTTCTCCTCAAGCGCTGCTGCTTCTATTGCGGCGTTCGCCGTCTCCGCTCTCTCCGCAATGTCACGGCGAGATTTGCGCAACATTGTCGAGATTGTGCTCCTTGAAGCACGTGAGGAGCTCGGCTTGAGCTTGCCAGACTGTGTGCTGTACTGCTCATTATGGGAACTGCTAATGGTTGATCGCATTGTCGATGGCATGGTCGACCGTGTTGAGAGGGTAGGCCAGCGGAAGATTTTAATGATGCCGGTCTCGCTCTCAGGCTGTGGGGGTGGGGGACTGTGTTGGGCCCATGCCGCTGTAGTGGCTTCGCGATCAAATTGCGAGGGCTGACCTTGGAATTTGCGATAGTGATGCTGTTCGTGGGAGTACTTGTAGCCGGCTTCGGCGTCGACAGAAAAATCATTTACGGGTGGTAAAGGAGACTTCTTCTCGTAGGGATGTGCACCATAAGGCAGTTGGGCAAATGATTGGCGTCTTTGGCGTCTTCGACGCCAGAGAAACAAGAAAAGAGCGACAATGGCAAGAACACCGACTGCTTGGCTATCAGCTACATCTTCAACATGGCCTTTTCGGCATTGACTTACAAGTGATGCCAAAACCTAGGGCAAGTTTGAAAGGAAGCATGGAGTTACCGTCACCCTGAGAGTCGATACTCGGAGTCTGCGCTGGCTCACCCGCCGGGAATGTAGTGCTAGGAGAGATAGAGGTGCTGGTTGTTGAAGTTATTGGTGTAGTTTCACGGAATAGGTCTGTTGGCACGCCAATACTGAGATGCGCTTCCTCAGGCTTGGCTGTGATTATAGGTGACGTTGATGATGATGATGATGATGAAGGTGCCTGAGGATGTTCCTGAGGTTGAGTAGTCGTTACTGGTAGTGGTGTAGGAGATGGTGTCGAAGAGGGCCCTGGTGCTGGATCTGGCACTGTTTCAACCGGCTTTGTTGTAAGAACTGGTTGGGCCTTCTCAGTCGTGGGACTAGGACCAGCTTGAATGGGCGCTGGAGTCGGTGTCGGCTCTGGAGTTGGGGCTGGTGTTGCCTTGGGAGTGGATGTTGGCTTCGGGGCCTGAGTCCTGGGAGTCTCTGCAGGCTTTGTTGTCGGTGATGGTGCAGCTTGAGGGGTGGAAGTCGTGGCCGCTCCTGGATTAAGAATTCCTTCAACGAGTGACTTGGGTCCATTCAAGATGTCGCCAATGATTCCTCGGCGCGTGATGTTGCCATCCGGCCTGGCCTGCAGGCGTCCTGCACTGCGGGAGGGCATGATATGTTTAATGAGAGTTCGGATCGCACTGTGAGAGAGTCGAAGGTGTTCATGACATGGTCATCCGATCCGCCAAGTAGGTACAAAGTTAAGAGAAGAAAAAAGAAGAAAGAGTAGCTATGCGGCAGAGGTCGTCTCCTGGGTCAGTTTCTCCAAGACCATCCTAGTCCAATTCGCTGAGTCCAGGAGGTTGCGACGAGGATAGAGCAGAGCTCTGGGACAAGAGAATGGAGAAACAAACAAACTTTCTCGAAGTTGACTGGGGGGTTTTGAGCCATCACGAACTCGAGGTCAATGCGGAGGCTGGCCTGCACTAAATCGACCTAGGTGTGATTGCGGCGTCTGTGCACAAGGCTTCGGCCGCAACACCATGCTTTTTCAGGAGCTACGGTGTCTCTAGGTCACAGTAGCTGCCGTCCGAGCGACGACGCCTCGCCCGTTCCAGTCGATTCCTGTTGCTCAATCGCTCTAGGCATGCAGCCGCCCGTCGCGATAGCGTGATGCGCACAGGGGCACCCCAAGCCGCAAACCCCCCTTCTCAGCCTGGGAAGTGTATCGTCAGTGTCCAGATTTGCGCCAAGGGCACCATGGCTTACTCGTGCTGTAGCGTCCGGTGTGGCATCGTGCGTACCAGAGTCCACCGTGCAGATCGGACGACAGCCATGGCATGTTTTGCGCGAATTGGAGATGTATCTGGTTGTCCTCCATTCAGCCGTGGGATGAGGCCACAGCCGCCATTCCTCAAATGGCTATCACTTCGCGAGAGACATATGGAGAGTGGGAGTCTCTGGCTGCGGGAGACATCGCAATTGCCCGGCGTAGCAGTCAGCATCGAAAACGTGATTAACACGAGACATGGTTGTGAGAAAATGCCCATCCCTTTCCAGCCACCAGCTTGGATGGAAACCCCCAGGCGGAGAAGGTGGGACGAGGGCTTCGGAGGGTCATTCACAACGTAAAACCGAAAGTACAACATTGGCGGGAATGATACAAAGAGCAAGCTGGTGTCCTCAGGGCAGGGTATCCCATGGTTCTTTAGCTAGACCGAAGCACAAACGAGCTGTGCACATCCGTCAACCCCACGGAGAACAGGTGTCTATTCGTGTAGACTTTCTGCCACTTGATCGATTGGCACGTGGAAGGTTTGACGCCACGAAGGGTTTGAGATCCATCTGATTGAACTTTGCTTGACAAGTGCAGGCGAACGCTGCTTCGCAGGGCATGGTGGAGAGACATCGCGGGGCCAAACAGCTGTCTTCGTGACTGACCGTCGTGTCATCCGTTTCCACGCTGGCTGATGTGGCGCGGCACGGTTTCGATCACGGTCCCGGAGTTTGCTGGCGCTAGCTACAGCGCTACAGTTTCCAATCAGGAACTGATCAAGAGGTGAAGCTCTGAGTCCGTCAGACTTACTTACAGGATAAAGAAGGCTTTGCGGAACTGGTGCTGATCGGCGATACCTACCCTGATTCGGCGCTTTCGGACTGGCTGGACCCATACAAGCGAACAGAGAGCCCGAGCATCCTATACCGGATGGGTACCAGGGTCTCATAATCATCGACCCTTAGGTCACGACCTGACTGTGGTTGTTGGGGTCATGGGAAGTACCAAGATGGAATGATGCAGGTGAGCAGGCCGGGCGTCGACTGGACCTAGGATATCCTGGCTTCGATAGTGCAGATGCCCTGGGAAAGGAGTAAGAGAGACCCGAGGCTGACCAACGACATGATTTCTCCGACTCGGCCGAGACGCGACCAGCCTAAATGGTCGTAGCTCACCACATTATGGTGATTGCACGGTCCTCCACGTCGCGTCGCTGCGTTCCCTGAAAGCAGAATTTGGCCCGTCTTGCGTCTCTCCGAGCGACCGGAGTTATTGGAGGTCAAAGCCAACACTACGAATTCCGCCCCACTAAGTTGCCATTATCAAGTTAAGTACGAGGCATGACCGTCTCTTTGGTTCTTCATATATCACCACATAGCCCACCTGTGCTGATAGGCACCTACCTGTATACTGGGTCTTCTCCTGACTCAAAATTCGGAATCGCCATCATGCGTGTCCCTTTGGTGCTCAAACATTCCTAATAGGGCAGGTCACACATGAACGGATTCAGAACAGCAGTCTGATCCACCTGCCGAACTCCGCACGTGCGTCGCTAGTCATCTTCACTGCTACTCTCTCGACTGCACCTCACCTCTTGACATAGTGGACTAAAACCATTCAAATCCACCGATTATAAAAATTGTGCTGCGGTTCCAGTTTGCTTCGTTTCACCCTTGAAGCTTTTGGACGGGTAGTTAAGCAGGAAGCAATGCTTTGCTGAACCGTATCGAGGACTCACCATACCAGGCACTTCAGGCTCAAGAAAGCATGGGGAACTTTGACGAGTGGTGGAGGAGAAAGCGGCTTTGAAGATACCCAGAAAAGGGGTCATGAAAATGTTCTTTGCATGCCCACGCAGGCAGCCAGCCATCATTTCGGCGATGCTTGGGCCTTGGCGTGAAAGACGGAGCCTTCCGTGTCAACCGGGGCAATGATTGACATCACTTAGAATCCAAACGCAAGAAACGTCATCCAATTCAAAAATCGCGGCTGATTAAAAGCCGCCTGGGCAAAGGGCTCACTGAAGATCAACGGGTGGAGGGATTGGGCCAGGGTTATCGCGGGGAACCAAGATGCTGGGCGACGGAGGCTAGCAGTGCGCGGTTGGATTGAGCAGGACGCGTCTGAGACGGCACGTTGCATCTTGCCCCTATTGGCTACTATCAGTCAGTGCCTAATTATAATCATGCGGCCATGCAAACATTTACACTCATGCAAATTGCCTCGGTCTCCGGGAGAGCGGGCGGTGGCGAACGGCTATTCCAGGAGGCATTGCAGCCCCACAGTCAGATTGGTACCGATGTAGGTAGGCTGCCTCGAATCAAGATTCCTGGTATGGTGCTTCAATATTGCATTTTGGTAGTGACTTTACTATGCGTAAGGCGCCAGCCGCATAGTGTGCATGTCGCCGTTGCGGCTCTGCACACATCACGTAACGTCACCGTGGGTTGGCTGTCTTTTACGGCTGATAATCGTTTGCAAAACTTCCTGGACTGACGGGCACTTTTCCCTACAATCTGCAACGGAAATCGAATTGCAGCGCAGTCATCGCAGAAGAAATGGCGTGGCCCTTACAACTCTACGCTGCGTGACTTGAGAAAAGTGGCGCCTGACGCTGGGCGCCATGGCAATGTGCGGGGGATGACATTCTTGTGCGTACTTGGCGATATCTTGGTGTTGAGCAGACCTGCCAACGCAAGCAGCAAGTCGGAACCTGTTTTGCTTTTGCAAGCTTTTGCAAATGCGAATCTTGACGACCTTTCATTCTGAGTGAATCTTTGATCCAAGAAAGTAAACGGCGCCTACAATCTGTCCTATACCAACTGTTCCTTAATCTTCAAGCCTCAGTAGGTTGTCTTCAATTTCTGCAGAGTCATGTCAAGTGAGATACATGTAGAACGGATTCTCTTGATGCAGCAAGATGCCGTAGTCCTCGGCGCCGAGCCGGTGGCAGGCTTCCGCGACGGGCCCCGAATAAGGCTTTCCGTCTTGCCACAAACGTCCCCATCGAGCCGTCGTAATCCTATCCACGTCGAATATGACCTGCAGCATTGCTAAATACTGCAAGAAAATATGTTCAACAATTATGCAAGGAAACGGGACGACCTCCGTTCTGTACTTGAACATTGCCTCTAGATCATCAATTCGTCCGTCCGCCTTGGCTGCAGATTCGGAAACAACAGCCGTCACTAGGTATATTGACAATCAAGAGCTCTTCGGGACCACCTGAAATGCTGCCAATTGACACTAGGACTCGTCCTCGGCATTGCATGTAAAACTATCAGTGTCGTCGCACTCGCGGTCCGGCACCCGCCTATCATTCACATGTTGATGGCTCCTTTGATACGATTCCTATTTCTGTTCTTTACTACCCTTGGCAAGCTAGTGCCGTAGCATCCCAAGCTGTAAGGATTTGACGGCGCTAGGAGCACGATGTTCCGTTTCGCACAACTGAAGTTCACAAACTATGACGGAAGGTCATCTTGACGCGTCTACTCCTTGGGGAGAACTCTATATAATAAGCACTGACACTTCCCCTCGTCAGTCTTCCTTTTTATCATCTCATCCACAATCTCTCCAGCCTAACACCATCTTACGCCAGCCACACACGCTTCATCATGAAGACCAACTTCTCTGCCCTCCTGGCCTTGTTGGCCGCCAACCGAGCTCTTGCGCAGCAGGCCTGTAGCGTTACGGAAGAGGTTGCACCATCGCTGACATGGTCGAAGTGCTCGGTAGGCGGCAGCTGTGCCGCGCAGACCGGTAGCCTCGTCATTGATGCCAACTGGCGATGGACTCATACTGTTGAAGGCTACGACAACTGTTATGAAGGCAACTCTTGGGACAGCACCCTCTGCCCCGATGGCGACACTTGCGCGCAGAACTGCTGCGTTGACGGCGCGGACTACGAGGGAACCTACGGTGTCACCTCGACCGCTGATTCAGTCACTATTAAGCTGGTCACCGAGAACGAGCATGGCCGCAACGTTGGCGCTCGCTTGTATCTTACAGATGGCGGATCTAAGTACCAGCTATTCAACCTCCTTGGGAACGAATTCACCTTTGACGTGGACTCCTCCAACGTGGACTGTGGTCTCAACGGCGCGCTTTACTTCATCTCCATGGATGCAGATGGTGGCCAAGGCAAGTTCCCTGGTAACAAGGCCGGCGCTAAATATGGCACTGGATACTGTGACGCCCAGTGTGCCCGCGATCTGAAGTGGATAGACGGCACCGTAAGTGCTTCTGTTCCGAGTGTTCTTTCAACCAGGCTACCGACTTGCTAACCAACATCATAGGGTAATGTTGAGGGCTGGCAGCCCGTGGGCGAATTCGCCCCAGATGTCGGCACTGGTGACATGGGCGCATGCTGCGCTGAGATGGATATGTGGGGTATGACTCCAATTCCTATTCTTTCAGAGCAACTCACTTCTAAGCTTGCCGCTGACCACAACCTGCAGAGGCCAACAAGGCGGCCACGTCCTACACTCCTCACCCTTGCGTTAACAACGCCTACCATTCCTGCTCCGGCGATAGCTGCGGTGGTACCTTTTCTGCGGATCGGTACGGCGGCACTTGCGACGCTGACGGCTGTGACTTCAACCCTTTCCGCCAGGGCAACCGAGAGTTCTATGGAGAGGGCTCCGGCTTCACCATTGACTCCACCAGCAAAATCACTGTTGTGACACAGTTCATCAATGAAGGACCTGGTGGCGATCTCTCCCAGATCCGCCGCCTCTATGTCCAGAATGGTGAGGTCATCGGTAACTCCGAGTCCACTGCCCCTAACAACCCCGGCAACGCCATCACCGACGAATTCTGCGCTGCCCAGAAGGAGGCGTTCGGCGAGGAGCAGGATCAGTTCACCGAGTTCGGTGGTCTGTCTCACATGGGCCAGGCTCTCGATGCCGGCATGGTTCTGGCCGTCAGTCTTTGGACCGACGCCCACGCCAACATGCTCTGGCTCGACTCAACCTACCCCATCGGAGAGACCGGCTGGGGAGCCGAGCGAGGACCCTGCCCGTCCGAGAACCGCACGCCTCCCGAGATCGAGGCCCGTGTTCCCGATGCTTCGGTCACTTTCTCCAACATCAAGTTCGGCCCCATCGGCTCCACCTTCACCGAGGGTGAGGTTACTCCTCCTGGCCCCGGTAACCCTCCTGTTGCCACGACCACAGCTTCGACACCCGCTCCCACTCAAGCTCCCGGCGGCCCTACTGCTCCCCAATGGGGTCAGTGCGGTGGACAGGGCTGGTCCGGCGCCACCACTTGCGTCTCTGGTACCACCTGCACTGTCGTCAACGACTGGTACCACCAGTGTCTCTAAATTGTTGATGCGACACTGTTTCAATGCTGAACTTCCCAAGCTTGTGCCAACACACGCTATAGTACAACGCAACGACTTTGCGGTGGATGAGCACCTTCTCCTACGTATCTCGATCCTCAGCTCAATTAGCCTCCACCTTGCCAGCCCAGGTAGAGAAAAATCAGGCACTTGGCGTAGGTAACGTACACCTTCTGAGAACCATACGAGGAAAGAAACACAGAGACTGGTGCCAGCTGGTACAGCTATAGGCTGCGGCCAAACGGTGGTAGTGACGTTAAAAGGCATTTGCCGTTGCGAGTTACAAACTTTTGCAGTACATAGTTTTCCGCTGGCCGTAAAGCTGGATTTTGGCGTGGCAACTTTGCCCTCACGCAGTATATAAGAACATCTTACTCTCTTTATATCGTGTTCTCAATTTCATTGTGATGGTGACTATCTCATCTTGTCGATAGGCACACTAGACCTGTACTAAGGAAAGATATGTCTTGTAGACCTGGTACCGCGAGAAACGCCCAATCATCCTGCGCTGGCTCTGAACGGAACAACTTCACGAGGCCTAGGCTTCTATGCGACATACTTTGGACCAGCCGATATGCTGCGGAGTTAGCTGCTGCAAGTAACCTACAAGAGCGTGTGGATTCATACCATGCGATATCAGGCTGAATTCAGGACCAGCTCTTTGTGAGCGCTTAAGGCTGCCGAGATGCGGAGGGCATCTTGGCTTTGGGGTAAAACTGAGATCATTTCCTAGTACGTGCAATCCTAGTTGGAGAAGACCATGTGTGCCTGTTGAGCCAAGGCTCTTTTTGAGGGGTTGCCAAGAGAACGCATCTTGAAACCTAACTCTGGAAGTCAGCGGGCTCGGTCTTTGTAGACTTCACCGCGTCATCTCGAGCCGACTTTATCCAGACATCCATCACGTTCCGTTAATCCGAATCTTGCAGCTCGGCCTTTGACGTATATAAAATCCCAGTCTTCGCGACTGAGTCCTCAATGGTGACATAGCCGGCCCTGCGCCCCCCAGCACCCAGGAATAACCAATCGATTACGATCCTCATTAGTCACCATGCGCTCTGGAACGATTTTCACCTTTTCGGTTACAGTACTCTCGTCTGTCGTCTATGCTGCTCCTACGCACGACACGTGCACCGAGGCAACCGAGATCGTCATCCGTCCCGACCTGAAGCATCAGGTCATTGAAGGATTCGGCTTTTCCGGAGCATTTCAGCGCGCCCAGCTCCTACTCAATGCCACTGAGACCGTCCAAAAGGAACTCCTGGACCTCATTTACAGCACAGAAACAGGTATCGGATTTTCAATCCTGCGCAATGGCATTGGTTCTTCCAACAGTAGCTACAATGACTGGATGAACACCATTCTGCCTGCCTCCCCTGGGTCTCCTGATGGGGAGTTCAACTATGTCTGGGACGAGTACGACTCTGGCCAATTCTTCCTCGCTCAGCAGGCTGTCAAGTATGGTGTTGACCGCATCTATGCCAACGCCTGGAGTGCGCCTGGATTCATGAAGAATAATAGTGATGACGCCAACGGTGGCTTGCTATGCGGCGTTCCGGGCAGCGACTGCGAATATGACTGGCGCCAGGCTTATGCCGACTACCTCGTCAAGTACATCAAGATCTACCAGGAAGAGGGTATTAAGATCACAGATGTTGCTTGGCTTAACGAGCCTGATCTGACGTGAGTCATGATGTCACTCGCTGCCCAGGCTCTTTGATGCTCATTTTTGTAGAACCTCGTATGCGTCCATGCGCTCCAATGCTGAGCAGACAGCTGACTTCCTGCCCATCCTCTGGGCGTCCCTCAACGCCGCGGGTCTCGATGTCGGCATCGCCTGCTGCGAGCTCACCGGCTGGGAGAGAACGATCGAGCTGGTGGCTGCCCTGCAAGAGCTTGGCGTCGAGGATCTGCTGACGACCTGGACCAGCCACGAATATACATCCAGGATTGATCAGCCGCTCGACACAGACATCTCAGTCTGGCAGTCCGAGTACTGTGACCTCTCCGATCGATGGACCACAGCCTGGGACAGCGGCGTCTCCGACGGTGACGGTTGGTACTGGGCCGACAGGCTGCACAACGCTCTGACGGTCGGCAATGTGAATGCATACATTTGGTGGTTGGCTGTGCAGGACGAGGCCACTAACAACAATAACAACGAGAAGCTAATCCTTGTCGAAGATGGAGAGTACGAGGTTGCGAAAAGAACGTGGTCGTTTGCGCAATACTCTCGTCATGTCCGTCCAGACGCGCAACGTGTGGTGACTGAAGGCGGCGACCTGAAAACGACAGCATACCAAAATGCGGATGGGTCGGTGGTAACTGTCATCTTGAACCCTCACTACCATGCCGAAACCGTCAGCCTTCGGGTTATTAGCTGCAAATTCCGCGAGTTTGAGAAGGTAACTGCCTGGTTGACGGATGAATTTCACGACATGGAGGAGGTTGAGGTTGATGCCGACGATGAAGGAAATTTGACAGTGCAGCTATCTGCCCGGGGACTGATCACGATCAAGGCAGAGTAACTCATTCATTTGTGATGAGGGCAAACCTGTGAGTGCTACAGTAGATATGAGGAGATTTATCTTCTGGCTCAAAGACCACCCTAAATCCTCATCCTGCCACAAGCCAGCAACCCACCAAATGCTAAAATGCGATAAAGTGTTCCAATAGCAAAGAGTACCAAAGCTCCAATCTGCAGTGTTCCGAGGTTGTAGCCTGTGAACTCGGCTGCCATGTCGATGTCGTACAGGTATTTGAAAGGCCCAGCCAACTGGCCAAAGTAGACCTCCGCAAACCAGGTTCCCGGTGACGCCCGCCAAAGCCATTCCATATGCCATGTTCTGACTTGCGAGAGAGCAGGTGATGCTCCCGAAAGCAGGCCGACGATGAAGCTGACCATTGTCGAGATGAGGGGGGCGTCTTCTCGTCGGACAACCATGCTGACGACACTTGCAAGACCATAAATACAGTAAAAGTACAAGAGGTTCATGCAGTATGCGAGGGTCCAGCTGATGATGGGTCGCGAAAGGATGTGGACGAGGGTGGTGAAATGAAGGCAGCTGAGGACCATCCGAGGCAATACAGAGACCGTCTTGGCAAGGAAGTACGCCAGCCGCGAGTGGCCTGCTTCAGCCTCTCTTCTGTGCAGAATCACCTCTTCTGAAAATATCTTCACCCCCGGCGCCCCACATATGAGACCGATGCCGATGGCCTGGAGCAGAGCCAGCTGGGCTGGTGAGGCAAAGTCTGCGGATAGGCTAAGGTCCTCATAAGGCGCCTTGTAGTAGCCTCGGAAGAGCACACCCTTTTTTCCATCTTGAGATAAACCAATGAGGAATCCTGAAAGAACGCTTAAGCCAATTTCAAAGAATAGTGCGGGCTTGAGACGATACTGTTGCAGCATGGCGCGTCGGAGGCAAAGCCATGTCTGCTTATGCCGGCGGGCACCACGGCGTTTCAAAAGTGCTCTCATAGAGACCCTGATACTCTTTGCCTCGGAGTCATCGCCAGAATCTTCATCGCTTTCGCCCCGGCGATGATGGGATGCCCAGTGGCTGATGAGGGCCTCCTTAGAGACGTCACCGCCCTTCTTGTATGCCCTCCCATTACCGGTAATGATATCTGTAACCACGTCGCCAATATTGCTGTGCTTAGGAAACTTGAACCCCATGCCCTCAAAATATGCCTGCGCTTCATTTTCCGGTCCTTCGTAGATGACCTGGCCGTTGCCGAGAAGAATGAGATTGTCGAGCATCTCGAAGATCTCCATACGCGGCTGGTGAATGATTGCAATGACCGAGATACCGAGACGCGCAAGAGCCTTCAAGGTCAGCATGATTGAGCTGGCGGCAGTAGCGTCCAATCCACTTGTCGGTTCGTCGAGGAAAATGGCCATGGGCGCAGCGGCCAGCTCCATACCGATACTAACGCGCTTGCGCTGGCCACCACTGATGACAGGCTTTCCAACGCTGCCGACTAGGGAGTCTCGGACGTGAGAGAGCTCGAGGCAGTCAACAACAGAGTCGACGTGGGCCGAGATGTCCTTGTCGGACCAGGATCTGGGCAGACGGATGCGTGCCGAGTGCAGGATATTTTCCCGGACTGTCAGCTCGGGAAGGACAACATCATCTTGAGGCACGTAGCCTATAATTTTCTTGTACTGCTCGATCTTCCCCGGAATGTTGTTGACAGTGACAGTCCCTCCAGTGTTCTTGGTCTTGCCCATGAGCACGTTGACAAAGGTCGACTTTCCGGCGCCGGAACCGCCCATGACGGCGACGAGAGATCCCTTATCTATGCGGCCAGTGACATCCTGTAGAATGGGCGTGGGTCGGCCTTTCGGTTGAAATGTGAGGCCGTTGTATGCGAAAGATAGGCCAAGGTTGTCGGCTTGTACATCCGTGGCTCTTGACATTGAGTCGACAAAGGCCTTGAGCTGCGGATTCAATGCAGCCAGTGTGTTAGCTCGGCGCAACTTGACGGTTGGGGCGCGTGCCACGGGCACGTCGAGAACAGCCTGAAAGCCATTCCCGGGCCTATATGGCAGAAATGTGGGCTGCATAGGTTGCATCTCCTGGTCTATCTCGTCGTCAAGCTGCTTGTACCCCGTGACTGTAGCTTGAATTCCCTTCTTTGATGCAGACTTGGCCATGAATGGGATTCCTGGGAATCTCATCCTCTTGCCACTCTTCCTTCGCTGCCGCAAGACAACCCACAGCAAGATGGCGCCAATGAAAAGATCAACAATGACAACAATGCCCACTGGGATCACAACAGCCTCGCTCGTAGCGCCCTTGGGACAGTAGCTGCCGGTGCTACAAGGGGTCGGTGATGGTGCGCCGGGCTGGCAGTATGAACCGGAGGGGCATCGAATGGTTGTCCTCTGTGCTGGCGGGCAGTAGTAGCCCCCTTGGCAGATTATGGGCTCAAAAACGCCCATCCCAATATTACGGCCCTCAAACTCGCAAGCCTTGCCAGCCAGACGGGCTCGTTGGCAGATCGTCAACGGCGTGCAGTATTGCGGAAGAGAGTTGACAGTGTTATTTTGGCCCGTGTGGATATCAGCATAAATACAAATATGATCGAGCCCACAGAAACACTCACAGAGAAAGCCTTCAGCACAGCCATGCTCCTGCCACTCGTCGATGGTTTGCATTTGCACAGGTACGGCACCAGGCCTGAAACAAGGAGCACCATCCACGGGTGCTTCGTCTCGCTCAAGCTGAGCTGCTGCCCTATAGTAGGAGGTGGAGAAAGTTGTGTGATTCGTGCCTGAGCAGGTTTGGTCGTAGACTGGCAAGTCTTTGTTGCTTGTGATGGGCACCAATTCAGACTTGTCATCAGCCCACTTAAGAGCCTTCGTTATGTCGGGAGGATTTGTCGAATCGTATGTCGGGCCGTCAAGCGTTGCCGCGCCATTTTGTGCGTTGAACCATTTGCCGTCATTTGTGAGGTACATCTCCTCTGTTCGGTTGCCAAGACATCGCCAGGAAGCGCCCGCATCTTGTCCGGGAGTGGTGCGTAATGAACACACGCACGCTTGTGTGTCGACGAAGGTCGGTCCCTCTGCTTGAACACGCGGTAGCAATGGTGCTTGTGGTTGACCAATCGTTGTCAGAAATGTGGCCTTGCTTTCAAAACCGTTGAAGCTATCGTTGTCGCCCATGATGAGGGCCCGGTAGTGGTGAAATTCCTGGTTGACACAATGAGGTTGGAAATTGCTGTGTAAGAACGCCCGTGTTTGTCCAAAAGACCAACAGCGCTGTCGACCACAGCCATAAGTCTTATTTGTATGGCATTTCATCGTCTCAACCCAAAAGAGCAGCCCGTAAGCACACGGAGGCTTTTCCCTTGCCCTCACTGCAGCACCCCTAATCTCATGCTGAGGTTGCGAAGGATGACCACAGCCTTCTTTCCCCTGTAGCTGGAGCGATCTACAGGGAGCAATGCTCGCCAGAGTCAGCACTATAGGGAGGACGGATATTTGCTCGGCCCTTGTTAGATATTTGCTCTGCCTAACAGGGGGAAAGCTATAAAAGATAGGGGGAAAGCTATAAATATAGCCCTATTACTAAAATTAGCTATAGTAACTATATACCTCTACTCGTCTCTTATACCTTTAAGTCTCTCTATAGATTCTAAGCTAAAATCCGAGCTATAAACTAGCTATAACTAGCTAATAAACTAACGCAAGCAGCCCCCTAAGGCTCTATAGCCCCCTAAGGCTCTATAATTACCTTATCTATCCGCTAAATTCTTAATAACCTTAAATATATTAATATTACTAAATACGCCTATTTTAAGCCCTCTAGATATCGCTAACGTATTATTTTATCGTTAAAAGAAGCCTCTCTAATACCTCCTTTACTAATAGACTTACTAGCTATTACTAAGGCCGTTACTAAGGGTCCTATCGTTTCCTTTACTATAAATACGTATAAAGAGCTATTTAAGACCGTTTATAACTACTATACCTATTAAGGGTACGGATTAACTATAGAACGGATCTAGAAGAAGATTAACGGAGTTAGGAACGGCCCGATAACGTAGATAAAGCTCCTCTATAACCGAGGGAAGGCTAGACCCTCTATATTAAAGGGTCTCTAGTAGAAGCCTTCCTCTAAAATTAACTATTTATAGTAAGGAACTCTCGAGGAAGTAAATAGTTAATAGAGATACGTACCTATCTTATTAGATAACTATTATAATTACTCTATTATTATAGAGATAGGAATTAAAGTATCGTTTATAATTTAGAAGGTATTTTACGATCTTAGTATTATAAGTTATATTAATATTTATATATTAATTAGTTAGTTAATTAATAAGTAAATTACTTAGTAGATTATTAAGGAATATATAAATAAAAGCTAAAATATCCTCTTTTTTAATATAAATATAAGGAATTAGCAGAGTTAATTATAAAAGGCTTAATAAAGCTATTACTCTCTTACTTAACTCTTTATTAACGACCTCGAATAGAATAAAGATATATACTATTACGTTATATACTATAATCTTATTATATAAAAGATCGATTACGTTTTCTAGATTTACTCTTAATATAGTTAATTATAGAAGTAGAACGCCGACCTCTTATTAATAGATTCTATATATTAAACGAATTATCTATACCTTAAAGCCTCGTCTATAATCTATTAAATAGCTTCCTTCTAACTAAAAACTATAAGTAAATTACTATAAAATACTTCTCTTCTAAGTAAATAGGGTAATAGTAATTTATACTTTATTTAATTACTATTTTATACTCTTTTCTAATAAGAGTATTAATATATATATATAAATAATTACTTATATAAAAGAGGTAATAGAGAAGGAGAATATTAAGGCCTTTAATATTATAATTATAGATTTCGATCGAAAGCTTAAAAATACTCTTAAAATCGTATTCCTTTATCTCTTATAATAAATTTATATATAATATATAAATAAAAATATTCTCCTCTATATAAGAAAGAAATAGAATAGCTACTTAGAGGGTATTATTATAATTAGAGGCCTTTATAGTAACTATATAAGTAGCTATTCCTATTATTCTTATAGGAGATATTAATTACGTTAACTTAATTAAGTAAATAGTAATATAATAGAAAACTCTATAATTAGCGAAATCGTCGAAAATAGCTTAATAGTAAAGGTATTTCTAATTATTAATTTAATACTTAATACTATAGATAATAGAAATAGCCTATAATACTTAAATTCTATATTTTTATTATTAGATCTATTATTAAATTAATCTCCTAATAGCTTCTTATTCGCTTAGAAGTAGTATATTAATACTAAAACGGAAAAAGCGTTCTAGCTCGTATAAGCTTTATTTTATTATAGGTTTAATCCTAAATAGCTTAATTTACTTACTTCCTTCTTTTTCTATATTCTTAATTAAAAAGTTAATATCTTAACTCTAAAGCTTATTTATTACTTAAATACTACTTAGCTTCTATTCTATAATTAATTCTATAAGTTTTCTATTAAGAGATTCCGAAATTATAGCTTTAGAATTATATCTTTAATAAAAAGAGCTTACGCTAAGCTTAAGAGCTACCTTCTAAGAGGTAAAAGCTAAGTTAACCTTTATACTCTATAAAAGCGAATTATTTAAATAGTTAACGAGAAAAAAGAATAATATAAGATTTTAATTTAATCGTAAATACGCTATATTAATATTAAATTTTAATAAAAATAGATTATATAATAGCTTATATTTCTTATATTCTTTAAAGCCCTCGAGAAGATATAGAACGAGCTATAAGTAGCTTTAAGAGCTAGGAATTTAGATTAATTATAATTCTAACTATTACTTTATTCTAATAGCTTTACTAAGTAATAAAAGTAATATAGTTATAGTTACGGGGACTTATAATCTCAGATCTTAAATACTTAGTTTATAGTATTATATTAAGATACCCTCCCCTAGTAGGAGGGGCTCTAGAGGTTCTCTATATATTATAACTCCTAGTTATATAACTAGGAGTCGTATAGGCTAGTAATTACTATTCCGTAATTACTATATAGTATTCGCCTAATAGTAATTACGGTTCCGTAATTACTGAGAGGATTACGATCCCGTAATTACTAACCTTATAGTTACGTAATAGGCTCTACTTATTACCTATCTACTATACCCGTAATAAAAAGCTACTTTATTAATATATACTATATTCCTATTTATCTCTTAATTAGCTATTAACCTTTAAGGATATCTTAATATATTAATAACTCGATTAAAATACTATTAGTTTTACTATTTACTCTCTTTCCCTCTTCTAGCTTTTACTTATTAATTTTACTATAAATAGGCTATCCTCTAAAAAGCTTATAAAGAAGCTCTTAAACTACCTCTAAATAAAGTCTTAAAAAGTATTAAATATATTAAATAAGAACGCCTCTAATACCTCTAATACTTTAAGGAAAATACTAATAACGCTTCTATTATAAGGTCCTATAATACCCCGATTTCCCTCGCCTCTACTATATAAACTATTACTTCTAGCTAAGTACTATCGGAATAGGAGTAGTTAGAACTATTATTATTATATTCTATACTAATCTTACTTTAGAAGCGCCCTCCTACTATCTAGCCGAGGAAGAAGAGGAAGATTAATAGCGATAAATAGATAGAGCTTATTATAACGTAATTAGCGAACCTTATAGAGGCGTCTTACTAATAAGAGGCTATATAACGTCTCTTAGCTAAGGAGTAGATATATAATACTTCTCTATAATTATAGCTATTATTAACGGCTATTAATATATAACTATTATAGGATATACTATAATTCTAATAATAACTATAGTAGTAGTTTTAGGGCGAGTAGCTTAAGCTATTTACTCTAAGGGCTTCTAGAGATTATAGTTAGTAATAGGGAGGGTTCTAAATAGCCTCTAATTAAGGCTAATTTAGCGTTTATTATAGTCTTTTTAATATCCTAACTTATAATATAAAAAGATTAGTACTAGCTGCCTTAGGCCGCTAAGGGCTATTAATAGCTATTTAGTAACTCGTTTACCTTACTATTCTATCGAGTGACTTAGAGGTATAAGAGACGAGCAGAGGTATATAGTTACTATAGCTAATTTTAGTAGTAGGGCTGTATTTATAGCTTTCCCCTTGTCTTTTATGGCTTTCCCCCTATTAGGCAGAGCAAATATCTAACAAGGGCCGAGCAAATATCCGTCCTCCACTATGGGCACCGCAGACAGGGATGGAATCTGACAAGACCATGCAGGGGCCTGGGCCCCGTGACACAGACTTAACTTGCGATGTAAATGGCAGGCATCGCCAATGCAAAGCGAAGATTCTATTTTGGACAATGCATGGATTGATTGAGAGAACAGTGAAGCTCGCGAATGAAGCGAGTTGCACAAGGTATTGCAGCGGGGTGTGGCTGGTCTCCGAGCCTTCATTTGTCCACCATACGCGAGATTTACGCGTATCGCGAATTGATCGCGGCGATGATCTCAGCATGACCGCAGATGTATGGTGGGTACTTCATCGCTGAAGCAGAAGCTGTTGCTCAGCCCAGAGTTGCCTGATAGTATCTTGCACAATTGGGATCGCGGTAAGACCATTGCATTGTGAGGACAAACCCTTTCTTCGACCAAAGGCGAGACTAATGGAAAGGTCTTTCTTGGAGCTGCTGGAGGCGCCGTCGAACGAAAATTGGATGGTGCAGGATCGCGATCCTCGACAATTGGTGGTTCTACGTTTCAAGGCTTTGCTCCTTCTGCTCGAGGGATCTTGTCCCTGTGCCTCGGCCGAGTCCAAGTACTGCTTGGCGCGGCAACGCGGGTGCGGGAGAGGGCCGCCTGCGGTCACGGCACTGCCTGGGTAGATTGTTGACATGGCGCTAAAAATAAAGTGTCAAGCGTTGTGGTAAACTTCTCGGTCAGCACACCCTGCACCGCACCGTCCTTCAGTCGTTGCACATCGTGTCGCTTGAAGATCGATGGTACAGAGTCGAACCAAAGTTGACCGTCGGCAGCATCGGGGGCTTCCTCCCTTGCATTCCTCGCTGTCGTTAACGACTTTGTCTTGGTTGCGCGTTGCGAGCGGTGTCGACCGTTCGCAAAAGCTGGGACTGTCTCAGGCCCTAGTGTCTCAAGAACATGCCGATTGTGATTGTCCGGGAGCATTTGGTATTGTCGGTATTGGGTTCGATGCTGTAGAGGTTAGTAAGTAGGCATGGGTGAACGAACCATACAGCCAAGTCACGAGACAGCCGTTAGGCATATCGCCAGAACAAGGATAGATAAAGAAGCTATTGTGCGGCTGATGCCGGCAAACAGCGGCTGAGCGGGAGCGATATGAGATGCATGTCGCTTCGCGTGGCATTTGGTGGCCACAGTCATGTTGATAAAGGATGTTTCGTCAGTCGATAAATATATGACTGATTGTCGTAGGGCGAGGAATGCCGTGAGAAGGAAGGCCAATGGAGCCTCAATGGGCATTCAATTCACATGCTGTTGTTGGATGAAGGGATGGTGCCGTCCAGGGAGGGCATTGGGTTGGCTAGACAAGAGGGCCGATGTTGGGTCGAGGAGAGAAACGAGGAAACAAGCACGATGGAGACAGAGAGAGACAGAGAGAGAGAGAGAGAGAGAGACAAAGCACTGACGTAGGACGCTTTCATCGGGTCCACCTCGTTTCCCCCGCGTTAGCAGTGACCTCAGTCAGCACGCTATAGCCACTGGAATTTCCGTACCCACCATCTGAGGACGCTGCCCCACCTGCGATGGCTGGAGCTGCCTTGGACGTCTGGGCCGGCGCTCGCCATGGCCGGCACTGCTGATCCCATCCGTCTTAATTTTCGGATCGTCACCTTCTTGGCTTTTTGTCCTACCCCAAGCCTGGGCTTCCTTCCTCCACCGCCTCTTCGCCCTCCTGCCTCTGTCGCCTCCATCCTGCCATTGACGGCCAATCGATGGTCGATCGCTCCTCATCAACATTGCCAACATGTCCGACTCAGGTACCATCACCTCTGAAGAGCAGGCTCGTCGTGCTGTCATCGCTGAGCATCTTCCCGCTGGCTATGGCACCGGCTTCGACGCCAACTTGGCCGGCTCTCCCGAGCAGTCGAGACACGCTTCCCACACGGAAGTGAACGAGATGGACGAGCCGCAAGAAGAGTCCTCTCTGCTGCTGCAGGGTGGCGACATCCACAGAAGTCTCTACAAGCTGGACGCTCGCGAGCGGACTCCCAGCATCCGCCGAGCCCAGACCTTCTCCCACCCTCACCGAACCCTCGACGACGATGACGAATCGGTTCTCCCCGCCGACGAGATGTTGCAGCCTCAGGGCTTCCGACGTCAGTTTGTCCTCCAGAAGCACGGCGGCGTCGCCGGCGCCAACCTGCCCATCACCAGAAACTTTGTCGAGTTCCTTGACCTATACGGCTCGTTTGCCGGCGAGGACCTGGCCGATTCGGACGACGAGGCCATTGAGGATGATGAAGAGGAGGACGCGGAACAAGCCGGGGAGAGGCGGCCTCTGCTGCCACGCCGCAAGTCGTCTCGTCACGTCCGAGCCGGCGATGCCAGCACCATGCAGACCTTCTTCACGCTGCTGAAGGCCTTCATCGGCACCGGCATCATGTTCCTGCCGAAAGCGTTCAAGAACGGCGGCATCCTCTTCTCGTCCCTCACCATGGTCGTGGTTGCCGCCATATCGATGGTGGCCTTCCATCTACTTCTCCAGTGCCGCGCTCGCTTCGGTGGAGGTTATGGCGACATCGGCCGCGAGATTGCTGGTCCCCGCATGCGAACACTGATCCTGGGGTCCATCACCCTTTCTCAGCTCGGTTTCGTGTGCACAGGACTCGTTTTCGTCGCCGACAACTGGTTCTCGTTCCTCAAGGCCGTCACCCATGGAGCCAACCCCTTGTCTTCGACAGCCCTGATTGCCATCCAGGCTCTGATCATGGTCCCGCTGTCGTTCATCCGCAACATCTCCAAGCTCGGCCCCGCCGCCCTGCTGGCTGATGTCTTCATCGTCATTGGCGTTGGCTACATCTGGTACTTTGACATTTCGGCCCTCTCCACACACGGCATCCACGAGTCTGTCAAGCTCTTCAACCCGGAAGCATACACCCTGACCATTGGTGCCTCAATTTTCACCTTTGAGGGCATTGGCCTGATTCTGCCGATTCAATCCTCGATGAAGGAACCCGAGCACTTTGAACGGCTCCTCGGCATGGTCATGTTGCTCATCACCTGCGTCTTCACCAGCGTCGGCGCAATGTGTTACGCCACCTTTGGCTCCGAGACGAAGATCGAGGTCATTGACAACTTCCCACAGGACTCCAAGTTTGTCAATGCAGTACAGTTCATGTACGCCCTTGCTGTCCTGGTCGGCAACCCCGTCCAGCTCTTCCCAGCGCTGCGTATCATCGAGGGCAAGATCTTCCAGCATAGGTCAGGCAAGAAGGATCTCTTGACCAAGTGGAAGAAGAACGTCTTCCGCACGATGCTCGTCGCCCTGTGTATCGCCATTTCCATCGGCGGCTCCGCCAATCTCGACCGCTTCGTCGCCCTCATTGGCTCCTTTGCTTGCGTCCCGCTCGTCTACATCTACCCGCCTTACCTGCACTACAAGGGTGTCGCCGGCACCCGCAAGCAGAAGCTTTTCGACATTGGCCTCATGACGCTGGGTCTTGTCGGCATGGTATATACGACCGCCATCACCCTCGCCACAAGCTTCCTGTAAGAAACAATTTTGCATCCTCTTTTGCATTGTGCTATTGGTGGCACTGGGCGTTTTCATGTTTTCAACGCGCGTGGGATGGACGGGATCTGGCGGTAAAACAAAACGGCAGAGAAGAGAGAAGAGCACATGTCTGGATTCAGAGCTGGTCAACACATATTCTGTACTTGGAACCCGACGGCAATTGTACTAGTTCGGCTGCGGCGGTAATTCTGTGATATGTTGGCCTCCATCTTGTGAGAAATATTGGGTGATTGAGGTGAGGGCCGAAATGCAATCTGCAGTTTTCGCCCAGTCTACCTTGACGTCAATAAAACATGCCTCAAGAACGGCAATGGATTCACGTTTTCGGCCTGTGCAGCAGCTCCTCCTGAACCCTCTTGTTCATCCCGCTGCCGAACCGAAGGTATTGAGCTGCCGGTTTTGTGTGTCGTCACTTCGTCAGCGGCTGGACGTGACAACGGCCCGACTTTGACATCGCGCATTCTGCTGTATTGTTTCGAATAAATACCACCCCGACGCGCCTCTCGGACACCATTCACGGTCGGGCTTTCATGCCTCCGTGCAGCTATCGCCGATCTCGTCGCTCGGCACATGAGTCTGTCGCCGGCGGCAGCTCACGCAAAAGGCAGGTCTTGACGGAGTTTTTCTCGGATCACGTCACAGAGCCCACCGTGAAGCAGTCCACGATGTCGTCCTGGACCTCGGAACCCCTCACACGTCCCGCCCAACTCGCAGGGTGGCTTAGCGCCCGCTGGTGGCCCCTGAGATGCCTATCTCGTCCCCAACTCCCGGTGCGGCGTCATGGCAGCTTCCACATGCGGAATGCCGCGCGCCGGCGATCGCCCGCATCGATCAACCCCGCAGATCCATCGCATGTGCCGTGGGGTACGGATTTGGGGAAGAATACCGGCTTTACGTGCATAGCCTGACAGAAAGACTAATCCCACGTGGATGCCAGGATGGCTCTTCAGTGGAAGAGCCTGTCAGGAAGAACAATAATGAGGCTGTCGACGGGAAAAGCCGACTGTGGTGATGGTTTTCCCGCCAGTTTCCCGCTGACGATGACGCCCGATCGAGCTTGATCAACGCAGGGCGACGGCGGTGCATGCCAGTTTCGACCATTGTCAGGGAAAAGAAGAAGAGACATATGATGACTACCGTTGAAGCAAAGGGGAAAATTATATAAAGACGTCGATCTCGCGAGCGAGGGGAAGCTTGTCTCTACAGCGACAACCTCTCACCCGCACTCTCTCTCTTCTCTCTTCGGTTCACCCATCCACCATGAAGGCCGTCCAGACCCTGCTGCTCGCCCTCGCGGGTACTGCTCTCGCTGCCCCTGTCGAGGCTCCCTCTTCGCAGCTCGACCCCGACTTCCCCCTCGCCGAGCTCGAGGCCTACTACGCCTCGAAGTTTGAGGAGACCTCGCCCGCCACCCCTCTCGCGGCACGCCAGTACTCCGCCAGCGTCTCGAACCAGCTGACGGACGGAACCCCCTGCCGCGCCGTGACGCTGATCTACGCCCGCGGCACCACCCAGCAGGGCAACATTGGTGACCCCGCCGCCGTCGGGCCCCTGACCTTCAACAACCTTGCGCGCCTCATCGGAACGGCCAACCTCGCCGTCCAGGGCGTGACGTACCCCGCCAACGTCGCGGGCTTCCTCGCCGGCGGTGACGCCGCTGGGAGCCGCACCATGGCCCAGCTCACTGCTCGCGTAAGACCGTTCCGTGCACTCCGGCACATGTCGAACAGTGAAGCAGGAGCATCAAGCTGACCGTGACCCGTCCAGGCCGTGACCCAGTGCCCCAACACCAAGATCGTCCTCAGCGGCTACAGCCAGGGCGCGCAGGTCGTCCACAACGCTGCCGGCCAGCTGACTGCCGCCCAGACCAACAGGGTCACCGCCGGTACGCCGTGCCCCTCTTCCTCTTCCCATGATGATGCGGCGGCGCAGTCCGTTCCCTGCGCAAGGAGTCCAACCAAGCTGACAAGACCAGTCCTCACCTTTGGCGACCCCAAGCGCAACCAGCCGTTCGGCACCATCCCCGCCTCGCGCACGCGGGTCATCTGCCGCACCGGCGACAACATTTGCGAGGGCGGCTTCACCATCACCCCTGCCCACACGCAGTACCAGCAGGACGCGCCCGCCGCGGCCTCTTGGATCGCGGCCAGGGTTCGCTAGATTGTGCATGGCACGTGAGCCTGGATGCACGTCGAGGGGGTGTAAGGTGTTGGGCAGCTACTCGGACCAGTGTAGGATCTGCGATGATGGAGTGATGTGTGGATAATGGAGATTGAGTGTCAGGAGAAGAGGGGTCAGTTTCTGTCAATGTGTTTCAAATACTGATGATGATGAAGAACGTAGTCTCGCTGTCCCATTTAATTCAAACCCTACAAAGATGCTCTGAGTATTCGCAACAAATCAAGGGCAGCATGCATACCTATCTGGAAACTCGTTGTGTGTAGAAAATTACTAGTATATAAATAAGACGAACGAAGCTCATATCATCCAATTCCGATTAGTCTAGTGGTTAGGATATCGGCTTGTCACCAAGAACTCTGGTTCTGATATTCGCCGGGGACCGGGGTTCAATTCCCCGATCGGAAGACTTTTTGCTCTCGCATCAGAGCTGATGATCAAAAGCACGTTGTCAGTGTCATCGATGCCTTTCCTTCTTTTGATGCTGCGAGCTACAACAATTCCGTTGTCAGGTAGGGTACCTATGCCCCAGGGCAGGATGCATCAGGACCGTGTGGCCTCCTCACTCCGAGCATCGAAAGTGTGCTTCCTCAAAAAGCCGAAGCCAGTTGTGTCTTGTCGAGTAATTCATGCCATCCGTCAATACCTACTAGGTCTCGATGCGTGGTTCTGAGACAATCATATCTCGGTTTCGCTCTACGATGATAGCGATCACGCACATTACATACACTATTTGCGGGCCTTACAGCCAGCAAGGTTATCTAGGTAAAAACCCACGAAATGCAATCGATTGAATCTAAGCTTGCTACGACGTATCTCATACAAAAAGATGCACATGACCCCTACTCCCTCTTCCTCTTCCCCCTGTACTTCACCATGTGTAAGTCTACAGCTTGCTCGCAGGCTCTCGCTTTCTCAGCCTCTCATCGAGAATGCCATCCTCGCCAAGCAGCTCGGCGGCAATGCCCCGGCCCGCCGCCCGGCCGGAGAAGATGCAGCCGCCGAGGAAGGTGCCCTCGAGCGAGTTGTAGCCGTGCACGCCGCCGCCGCCGAAGCCAGCGACCTCGCCGGCAGCATACAGGCCGGGAAAGGGCGTGCGTCCGTCCGTCTTCATGACGTTGCTGCGCAGGTTCGTCTCGATGCCGCCGAGCGTCTTGCGCGTCAGCAGGTTCATGCGGACGGCGATGAGGGGCCCGTGCTTGGGGTCGAGGAGGCGGTGCGGCGGCGCGACGCGGCTGCGGCGGTCGGCCCAGTAGGCGCGGCCGTTGTTGATGAGCATGGCCTGCGCGTCCTTGGAGAAGGGGTTCCCCATCTGGCCGTCGCGGGCCTCGACGGTGGCGCGGATGGCGGCGGCGTCGAGGGCGGGCCCGCCGCGTTCGCGGGCGAGGTCGTTCATGCCGTCTACGAGGGCGTCGAGCGTGTCGCGCACGACAAAGTCGGCGCCGTGCTGCTGGAAGCGCTGCACGGGGACGGTGCCCTTTTTGCCGAAGACGCGCGTCAGCAGCTGCCAGATGCTCTTGCCCGTGATGTCGGGGTTCTGCTCGCTGCCCGAGAGGGCAAACTCGCGCGCGATGATGGTCTGGTCGAGGATGAACCACGAGTAGTCGTAGCCCGTGGAGCAGATGTGCTTGAGCGTCGCCATGGTGTCGGCGCCGGGGAACAGCGGCGGCGGCAGGCGCTTGCCCGTGGCATCGAGCCAGAGCGACGACGGCGCCGGCAGCACGCGGATGCCGTGGGACGGCCAGATGGGATCCCAGTTGGCGAGACCCTCGGTGTAGTGCCACATGCGGTCGCGGTTGATCACGTGGGCGCCGCTCGACTCGGCGATGCCGATCATGCGGCCGTCGACGTGGGCCGGCACGCCGACGACAAAGTGCTCTGGCACCTTGGGCCCGAGGCGATCGACGGGCCAGGCGGCGCGGACAGCCTCCACATTGCCGCCGATGCCGCCCGACGTGACGACGACGGCGGCGCCGCGAAGCTCAAAGGTGCCCGTCTCGGTGCGCGACGTGGCGACGCCGCGCGGCAGGTCCGTCGCCTCGAGGGTACGGCCGCGCACACCAACAGCGCGGCCCGTGGTCTCGTCAATGATGAGCTCGTCGACAGCGTGGCGGAAGCGGAACTGGATGATGCCCTCCTTCTCGGCCTTGAGCACGGGCTCGCGGAAGACGCGGACGACCTCGGGCCCCGTGCCCCAGGTGAGATGGAACCTGGGCACCGAGTTGCCGTGGCCCTCGGCACGGCCGTCGCCTCGCTCGGCCCAGCCGACGTTGAACATGAAGCCCAGCCCGAGCCCCTTGACGTAGCCCTCCATGCCGTCGTCGCCCTTTTCGGCGGCAAAGTCGACAAAGGCCTCGGCCCACTTGCGCGGCCAGTAGTCCTCGTCCTCGCGGTCAAACTGGGCGGAGCCGAGCCAGTCGCGCATGGCGAGGGCCTTGTTGTCGCGGATGCCGAGGCGGCGCTGCTCTGTGGAGTCGACGACGAAGAGGCCGCCGAGAGACCAAAAGGCCTGGCCGCCGAGGTTCTGACGGGACTCTTGGTCGATGATGAGAGTTGGGATGCCGCGTAGCGAGAGTTCATAGGCGGCGACGAGGCCGGCCAAGCCGCCGCCCACGATGAGGACGGGGTTGTCGGGAGTTGCCTTGGCCGCCATGGTTGTGGATGTCTCGTCTCGGTATGGGAGGGGGGGAGATGGAGCTGCGAAGGAGGAGCAGATCTTTGTCGGAGCAGATCTTTGTCGGAGCAGATCTTTGTTGGAGCAGATCTTTGTCGGAGCAGATCTTTGTCGGAGGAGGTGGAGGTCGATGAGATGGGCCCTACTGCGAAATCCGGGGAAGAGGGGACGCAATCGCGGGGATGACAATGGGTCGAGCTGTCGGACGATGGATGGGCTGACGAAAGGCTGGGGTTGAAGACCCTCGATTACTATGCCCACGCAGGAGGAGCCTCGGCCCCGCAGTCTGACAAGCTCGGCGGTTGGCCGGGGTCTGGGATGTATGCATGGTGGTGTATTGCCTACCTTGGGTGGTACTCAGGTGGAGAGAGAGGGAAGAGTGTGGAGGTGTACAGAGCTTGGAGGCATGTGACCGAGGCATCCGGCAGGCTATTGCAGCAAATGGTAGTACGGTGTGCTGTGGGACCAGCAAGGCTGCAACCCTAACCCTCACGGCTGAGGAGCCTACTGTTACTGTTATGCTCTTCACGGGTATTTCTTTGGTCGAGTGGCACACCCCTAGGACCTAGGTGCCCGGTATGCCCCGTTCCCTCCGCTACCTACCTCCCTAGGTACCTTAAGACTTCTACACATCGACCTTCACCACGACCTTGCCAAAGTGCGACCCGCTGAACAGATACTGCAACGCCTCCCTGCCCTCCTCGAACCCGAAAACGCGATCGACGACCGGCCGAATGGCGTGCGCCTCGTAGAACCGCACCATCTCCTCGAACCGGTCGCGCGGCCCGTTGAGGATGCCCTTGAGCGTCACGTTGCGCGCCAGCGCCAGCAGGTTGACGTTGGTCCGGTCGCCCGCCTCGTCCTGCTTGCCCGACAGGTAGCCGATGCACGCGATGACGCCGCCGTACGCGACGCAGTCGAACGACCTGCGCAGCGTCTGCGCGCCGCCCGTCTCGAGGATCACGTCGGCGCCCTCCTCGCCCGTCAGCGCCATGACCTGGGCCTGCCAGTCGGGCGTCGTGCGGTAGTTGATGACGTGGTCGGCGCCGAGGGCCTTGGCCTTTTCGAGCTTGGCGTCCGAGGACGACGTGATGATGGCTGGGACTGTTAGCGGGCCTGCGGTGCAAGGGCTTCAGGGGCAGTCTAGAGCAAAGAAAAGCCGACAACGGAAAAAAGAAGCAAAGCCGACAAGCGGGGGAATCAAACATACTCGTCGCCCCCGCGGCCTTGGCAATCTGCAGCCCGCTGACGCTGACGCCCCCTGTGCCCTGCAGCAGCACCGTCTCGCCGCGGCCGCCGGGCGCGCCCAGGGGGCGGAACTGGTTGATGGCCATCCAGGCCGTGACGGCGGCGATGGGCAGGCACGCCGCCTCCTCGTCGGACATGTGGCTCGGCGCGCGCACGAGGCCCGTCGCGGGGAAGACGCGGTGCGTCTGCAGCACGCCCTCGAGCGGCAGGCCGAGGCCCGACGCCATGATGGGCGCCTTGATCTGGCCCGTGAGGTGGGCCTGGTTGAAGGTCGAGAGGACGCGGTCGCCGACAGCCCAGAGCGGGGCGTCGTTGTCGTTGTCGACGCCGACGGCCACGACGGTGCCGCACATGTCGGAGCAGGGCACGAGGGGGTCAATGTCACCCGCGTTGACTGTTTTGTGGTGGTTGTAGAGACCCATGATGACTGTGTGTGTGTGTGTGTGTGTGAGCGACCCTTCTTGTTCTTACGCGTGACGCGAAGACCTACCCTCGGTGTCGCGGTAGTTGAGAGACACGGCACTGATCTTGACGAGGACCTCGCCCTTGCTGGGCTTGGGCATGGCGCCGGCGGCCCTAGAAAGGTTCTCGAGGCCATCGAGCTTGGTCTGCCACTTTTGCGCTTGTATGCCGGCCATTTTTTTTTTGGTCTAAGGGATGGGATTGATACTAGGCGTCGTGTCGAGGGACAATGAACAGCGGCATGCGTCTTATATATCCATGCTGCGGCGTGCCTCTTGAAAATGGAGGTGATTGCTAATACGGAGGGTCGCGCAGTGGGTTGAGTGGATGGCCATGATCATCATGACGAGGGACCGTCCCCGCTTCGGAGTTGTGGACGGAACTCGGACTCTGCTGGTGGCTACCTACTAAGCCAACGACAGAAAAATGGCCTACCAAAAGTCTCTACTGTAGGCCTAGTACGCGACAGCGAGGCATGGGTCGCCGCTGATTGACTGGTAGTTTCGGTGCTCTCTCACTTGATGGGTAGTTTTGTCGACAGTTTTGTCGACCAGATACTACTTAGGTACTTACCTAGGTAGGTGCCCTATCACCCTAGGCACCTAAGGTGGGTACCTAGGTATGTAGCTTGTGCTTGTGCTCACTACCGGTACGCACCCCGAAGTGAGGTAGCAGACCTGGTCAACAGGTGATGCTAGGACTTCCATCGTTCGCCTCTGTAATTCCGTTTTCGAAGTTCCCTCCGAAGATGGATGCTAAATACATATACATATATATATATACCACAATTTAGCAACAACTGTCAACAATGCAGCGATGCAATCTGTCTACCTAGCTAAGGTACCTAAGGTACGCCTGTAAGGACAGTGCTTGAGCAACCAAGACGGAAGCTGACAGCTGTCGCCAGGGTGCGCTAACGATGTGGGGCTGCCTTTGTTTGCGGTTTGCGGCAGTCACCGCCAACACCAGCGATATCCCAATCTCGATCCAGCCTCACCAACGACCTGCCTTTCGTCGCGACTCGCGAGCCTTCTCTCACCATCACCACAACCCTCTTGCCACACGAACAATCGACCGTCAACCGCACCCTTCTTTCATCTTCATACCCCCCCTCCCCCCCCCTCAGTATCCTCATCCAGCTCCATGCATGCCATCAGATGGCATCCGTCTCCCACACGCGCACATTCGCAACCACCCCGCCTGCCCCACAACTCCAGACACCCCCGGCCAAGGACCAGGATGACGACGACGACGCCCTTGTCCTGACGCGGGACCAGCTGCGACGGCTGCATGCCTTTCGCGACGCCCTGCACCGCTGTGCGAGCGCCTCTGATCGGGACCGCCTCTGCCTCGTGCTACGCGACCAGCTCATCGATCACGAGGGCGGCCATGAGATCCTCGTCGCCTGCGCCGAGCGCCTCACCGCCAAGGCCTGCGCCGAGTACTTCCAGTGGAGGGTCGACATGGCCGGACGCCCTCCGATGCCCCTTGCCGTGACCTTTCGGGAGGATCACGTGGCCCCGTGGGACCGCTTCTTCGGCCTCGCCTCCATCGGCTACGCCGCGCGCCTTCGATGTCTCGACGCCCTGACCGAGGTCGCCCATCGCTGGGGCTGCCACGTTGTGCTTCACTACGACTTGGTCCTCGGTGGCCCAGAGTACTGCCATCATGTTCGCCTCGCCGCTCGTGTCATTCCCACCTTTGATAACGCCGTCGTCGCACTCAACAGGTGCACAGAGGCGCGCGTTGCAACCCAGCCGCCGTCGCATCCGCCGCGCGATGTTTCAAATCATCTCGACGTCGAGGACCTCCAGCGCATCATGCAGTGGTGGGAGAACGGCACCTACCCGCGGAAACACCTGCGCGAAGAGGACCTGCCTCCGGGCTACGGCTTTGACGACTTCCACCTCATGGTTCCGCTGGAGCATGCTTGGCCGCCCATCAAGAGCGCCTCCTCGTCGCCTGTGAGCTGGCCGGCGACGAGCCTCATCACGCCGGTACGCTCCATACGGGAGAGCGTCAAGACGGCGCCGGCGGCGGCAGCAACCCCTCAGTGGTCGCCCTACCGGTTGGTGCCCATCCCTCGTGAGCGCACGACACTGGCGCCCCCGAAGACGAAGGTTCCGGCCACCCAGAGCACTGGGTGCTCTGAGAACCCGGCAGGCGAGATACGCGGTCACCACCCGCCTCCAGCAACACCCGTGGCGGCAGACCCCCGATGTGTCTGTCCCGATGACGTCCCATCCATGCTTCTCTTGGCCCTCGACATTCCCACGGCATTCACACCAGCCTTTGCGACGAAACTGATTCCCTTGCTTGGCAAGCTCTGCCGGCCGCATCTGCAACATTTCGCCGAGCACACCGCTGCGGCAATGAACATCCAGCCCCATATCACTCCAACCACGGCGATAGAAACTAACCCAACCAACCCCACCACGCCTGCTGCGTCTGCCGCCCGGCGCAGATCATCGCTTGGCAGTGTCGATGAGCAGAGGCCGAAGAGACAGCGAGTCGACGACCAGAGCCCACATGGGACCGCGTCACAGGGGCGGGCCTTGCATGACCGCGACGCCGACGAGGCCTATCGAAAGCAAGTATTAAGCGAGCTGCGGCAGACGGTCGAGGACACGATCTTCCCACGGAGTACGCATGGCGAGGGAACCAACAGACTGATTCAGGAACTTCTCGAGAAGGCTGAGCCGCCAAACACGTCCCGCGACAAGGGCGCCATCGAGATGCTGTTCTGCAGCGGCGACCAAGCAGAGGCCCTCGTCGACTTTGAGTCACCGCACGGCGCACCCATCGTCACCGACGGCCAGCAACAGTTCCGCTGGAAGACGAGGGAGCGCCCGATCGCCCAATTTCTCCGTCGCATGGGAAACCTCGACAGGTTCATCTCGGTCCAGATCCCTTCGCGCAGCGCCCTCTCGGAGTCGTTCGAGGTCCGCAAGTTGAGCGAGGTCAAGTCTCGCTACCTCGCCGACGAGAGCACCGACGACCCGTGGAATATTCTCGACCTGCAGAGCCCCCTGCCGTCGGCGATCCTGCCGAGTTTTTTGTCGGGCGAGAATTGCCAGTTGCTCCTCCAAGTCCGCGACACGGTCCTCATGGAGGAGAGCGCCGAGAGGGTCGTCGCCTCCAGCCGACAGTGGAACGAGTGGCGGAACGTGCTCGAATGGGTCCTCATGTCGCAGGGCGGCCACAACACGGCCCCCCACACGGACAGCCACGGCTTCTCGACCTGGATCACGGCACAGGAGGGTCAAATCGGCTTCGGCTGGCTCTCCGACCCCACGGACAACGAGCGCGCCGCCTGGATCGCCAATCCGGGCTCCTACACCGGCGGCCGCTGGCGCTACACCGTGCTCAAGCCCGGCCAGACCGTCTTCTTCGTCTCAGGTACCATCCACTTTGTCTTTCGCATACGCACGCCTCAGACGCTGGCGCTCGGCGGGCACGTCCTGCAGTGGTCCGGTCTTGAGCGGTGGATGGCCATCGTCCTGACGCAGATGCAAAACCCGTCCATCACCAACGAGGACATGGGCATCAGCGCAGCGAAATATGTTGGCGTCGTCTCGAGACTCGTGGCGGCCAAGGTGAATGAGGACAGGTCGAACGGGCTCGAGATTGAGGACCGCATCCTGCGTTTTCTGGGCTCTGTCAAGGTATGTACAGGGGGTGCCTGGGTTTCTCAGGTCTGCTGCTAATCACGACAGGCATTTGAAACGGCATATGGTCAACTGAGCAAGAAGAAGCGTCGCTCGCCGGCCGGTTCAAAGAAACGGGCTCGATGAGTTGTCGGTACGAGCCCTGGCTGAAGCTGCAGGTCAGCGACATGGTGCAGTGACCGCAGCCAGCGCATCCACAGTCTACAAACCCCGAAGCGGCAGAACATGAGGTGCAGAACCGCACCTTCAGTTGAAGCCATTGTATCTGTATAACAAAGGATGCCTGGGATGCCATGCAGAGCGCCGCGCTTCCGCCACCCTTCGAAACCAGCAGCTTTTGTTTCTCTAGCGACTGGAAGCCTTCCCAGTATCATCTGTGCTTTCCGATTTCGATTACTCTCCTTGTCTACATACGGCGTGCGCGCATCAGCTCGGGGCTAGTGGGGGAACTTGTACAATAAGCATCTTGGGGCGGGCCCTTGGCATCAATGGCGTTTTGTACAGTACGGAACATGATGGACGGTATGACTCATTTTATTTTGTTGGTTCGGCAATACGATTCTGTTGTAGCTTTTGAAAGCAGTACTTGCTTATTCGTTTCTCTTGTCATGTTGTGTCCGTCCAAGAGCCTAGTAACTGATATCTGGTCTAATGTGTGACGGCTTTCCGGGGTCTCGCTGATGATTGTTCTTGGGAGCATTGTTTGTGGAGAGGCAACCCGGCGATGACCCCTGTTGGGAAACCTCCCTCGGTGTCTGGCAGTGAGTCACTACAGGGACTTGGCACGGACATTCCGGCCTCTGGAGCCGTACAGTCTTGGAGTGTTCTGGCAGACGTAGGCGAGGTACCCGTCATCGACTAGACCATTCTATCCCACCGGTGTGGACAACACGCTGTTGCCGGAGTATATCGACAAGCACACGGCTTCCTCAGAAAATCCAGACATGGGACAACTGTGAATCGAGTCATACGAGGCCTGTGGAGAGATGTAAAGGATAGTACGGGGGGTTAGGCGGTGACCAGCATTGGTCTCCTTACTGGACCCACTCGTGGCAACAATATGCAAGATAAGGCAGTATGTGAGGTTGAGTTCATGGCCCGGATGTATTGTGGAAAGGCTGTCAACGTTTCTCGATAGAATCGGTGAACTATGATGCAGATGGGCTGGGGACACTGGTTGCAAAACAGTAGTCGAGGTGGATGGACCCGCTCATATTTCATCTTATATCGCTGACATGCGCCCCCCCTGAGGTGGTACGCATACTAATGCCAGTTGAAAAGAAAGAACCATTTCCCAGTTGCGTTCACGTACTATTTGTGAATGAGCTACCAGCTGTAGATGCTGCTGTAATGTGATCGGCGAGATGCCGATTCTCGTCAGGTTTCCACGTACCATTATGGAGGTGGACCGTCCTTTGACTCTGAAATCCTGAATTGTACAGAAGCAAGCGGCACTTTGTCCTGGAATACTGACTCGGGGAATGAGCGAAAAATAATGCAGGTGGAAAGGTGCAAAGCAATCGAGCATCAACAGACAAACTGTCCCGATACTGCCGCACCTTGACCGAGGATGCGACCCAGATTCCGACACCTTACTGCCGGCTTCGGCGGATTTGTTTTATAGAAGGAAAATGACTCGAGGCACACACCTTCTTCGCCGGCCGGAATACCTCTTGTTCATCTCGAGAATCAGCACAAGCCAGACTCGGATGTCGGTCACTGATGACATGACCCATCAACCCCACCTTCTGGTCCACAGTCCGAGATCCAGGTCCACGATGCCCCTTCCGCAAAGTCAGCCAGAATCAGCCATGCCGAGGCGAGCATGATCCAACATAGCTTTGATGTCTGGTTGCGATCATCAAATGCACCAAATGGACTTCTCCAATCGTCATATGACTATGCCGACTGCATATATTAGTGTTTACTACCCACACAACATGGTCCTCGGTGCGTCTCACGACACATCTGACTTGTGTAGATACCCTATGTTGCCCACCTGGGGCTAGCAGTTATTACACCACGCACGAGGAACAAGTATCATGTGCCAAGACCGTGAAACACCCTGACTCTGACTCGAACCGGACGCTTCTCGTGCGACAAAAGTCCGTAAATCACATCAATGACTCGGGTGACGGGGGGAAATCCTCCGATCGTGAGCACGAATAGCAATTCGATCCAGAAAATTATGTTGGACCCTCGTCCGCTTCCGCGGCCCCTGTTCCGGGTGATCAAGCGCCAGAACGAGAGCTCTGGTCCCCGTGCGGCTGGTTTGCGGCTGGCTGCTACCCGCTGCACCTACATGTAGAAACGCCATCTTGTAGAGCCGCTTTCGCCGAGGGCGAGCTCTGGGAGCAATTGCCCATGTCGCGGCCGCTGGTGGCAACCATATAGCCATTTCGGCATTATGATCTCGCGGTTGCCCACAATTTCCTCGGCGCACAGCCTTGCGATTCTCCACCGCGGGTTCTCTCATCGCTTCCCGTCATTGCCTCATCTGCAAGATGTTCTTTTAGTTTCAGTCTTGAATGGTGCAGAAGAAGACCTGCTGCTGGCGTTGGACGTCTTCGGATAAAGGGCTGAATAATGGCAAGGCGCTACCTGACAAGAGGCTGGCCTGACCAGACGGTCCGGACAAAATAATAAACAACTGCTCATGGATCGCGGACAGACGCAATTACATGGACAACTAGCAACTGCCAGCAGACCCTGGAGTTCTGTAGCACGACTCGGAGCGTCTTTGCTCGAGGGTCGCAACCCGTGGAGAACATCGCCCGAACCGTTCGCCATCATCATGCTGATCATGTTCTGATTACCAACCATGCGACTTGTGCATCCTGGCCATCATTCACATCTAACACGCCAATCCAACAATCAGCGGGACCATGATAAGGATTGGGCATGGCTAAATCTGATCCCATGTACGTGAAAGCTTGTCTGTAGCTCGATTCGGGGCGCGCATCTCCACAGGGCCTGGCGCCCCGAACCAACCGCGTCTCAAGCCGGACCCCTCCCATGCGTTGTGGAAGATTCGCCAATGGGCAGCAAAAGAAAGGCTTCTAGAAGGTGAACGGGCCCAGCCCTAGGGACCCCTGGACGCGCGAGTCAAACTCAAAAAGGACCTGTGGCTGTGGCCACGGACCTTTCGAGGGAGCCCATTCTGCCGCATTAGAGTTCGCCGCCGCCTGTGACTTCCTGTGCTACACGCATTTCCAGCGTCCTTCCGCAGCGGACGCGAAGCCTCCAGGTCTCAAGTGCCTGACTCGCCGCGATGCCATCGGGCTCCCCCGCCTGAGCCGGACCTTTCTGTCCATGTAGATCATCCGAGCTCGAAACACATTCAGTTAGCTTTGAGCCGGCCTCTGGCTATCTCGTCCATGCGTGGACGAGCCTTGTCAGTGTCCCATTTGTCTTTGTGTGTGTGCGGGCCATGGCAGCCACGCCCCCAACGGGCCCTCTACCACATCTGCTCCCATAACTGTGTGACGTCCCCTCTCTCCCCCACGCCTACTTTGCTGGTTGTTCTATTGAGCTCGAATTGAACGTGGAATCGATAGATCATATTGCGAAAAATCCCCTGGTCGCCACTGTCCATTCAAGCCTCTCCCGATCCACCATCGACGAGAATGGACAGCCAGTCGTCCACGGCCCGAACCTCCTGACAAGGGCTGGGAACATGGCATCCTCCGATAGCGAGCCCTCTCGACAGCTTGGGTACCTACCGCCGCCGCCCGGCGTCACACCAGACTTTGACCATCCACGAGACGCAGGCAGGGTGGTGGTTCTGGCTGGGCTGATTGTCTGCAATGTTCTCGTCACCATTTTCGTCTCTCTGCGAGGCTACGTCAAAGTTTTTATCAATCGCCGCATTCTGTTGGCCGACTGTATGGGCGAGACATACCTTTCGATTTGGAGATGACGAAAGCTAACAGAACGCCCAGGGGCGTGCCTGGTATCTTGGGTTCTGATCCTGGTCTATTCCGCGACCGTGTTCACCAGTGAGCAAGACACGTATGGTCAACCTGTTCATTTCTCGTGCTCAACTCATCGCAGTGATCCATTACGGTCTGGGGCACTACGCCTGGGAAGTGACGGTGGAGAATTACTCTGAAGTGCTCAAGGTGAGCCCACGTCCGCCGTTTGCCTACGAAATAGCCACAACTGATCGATGAAGTGGCTCTATGCGAGTTCCATCGTCTACATACCAGCGGCATACCTCACCAAAGTCACCCTCCTGTTGCTGATTGCCCGCGTTTTCGCCGTCAATGAGCGCGTCGCCAAAGGCATCCACTGGTTTCTCTGGGCACTGCTCCTCCTCTACACCCCCGTGCAGACCATCAAGATCATCATCTGCGTGCCGATCAACTCATATTGGGACTTTTCCGTATCGGGACGATGCATCAATCAGCGCAGAGTATTCATCGTCGACCTGTCCATCGCCGTCATGGCTGACCTCGTTATTATCATCCTCCCCATCCCGATGACCTGGTCGCTGAACCTGCCTCTGAGAAAGAAGATCAAGATCATCCTCATGCTTGGGGCCGGCGGTGCCGCAACAGCCGTCACCATCTTCCGCTTGATCAGGGTAGTCCAATTCGTCGGCTCCAAGGACGTAACAGCCGACTTTGGCGTTCTTGGCTTGACGACGTATGTATTTCTTTGCTTCCGCCAGCTGCCCATGTACTGATTGCATGCAGATGCGTTGAGCTTACTGTAGGCCTCATCTGTGCTTGCCTCCCCTCCGTCAATCTCCTCTTCGAACGCCACCAGTCCGCTCGCAAGCGCTCTACGGCCCGCAACGTCCCGCGCACCGGCCGCTGGAGCCCTGCTGTTGACAAGACGTCGCACTGGTGGGACACGGTCACGGGCAGGCGGACAGCTGACGCCACAGCCGTGACAACCACCTCTCAGACGCCGGCGACGGCCTTGTCGCAGACTGCCATGACTGAGGTTGCCCCTAGTCAGCAGCAGACTTGCACACCATCCCACTGTCGGCAGATGACCTTCGACGTTGAGCTGGCAATGTTTACGGGACAGCCTGTTGACGAAGCGTCGGCTGCGCCGGAGGTCAAAGGATCCGATGTGAGGATTAACTCGTTCGAAGGACGACGGGAGGGATGGCTCGCGCCCCGAGCGGACGGGGCAGTCGAGTCGAGGGACTTTAATCAGATTATGGGGACAAGGTTATGGAGCACTATCTGGGACGGGTGCAAAGACGATATCCCAAGAGCATGATACGCTTTTGCTACTGTAACTTACAGCAATGGAAAATCTACTTGGATGCTCGTTGTTTCACAGCTGAACGTTGATGAGTACTCGCTGTTGGCGTTAGAAGATCGATGAAACTCTGAGTCCAAGGACATCTTCATGTTGAGAGAAACCTTTCTACAACCATCGGCCATGTGAATAGAAGTTACTAACAAGCATTACACGTACTTCATAAACTGTGCATATCCCCTTCATAGCGGTATCAATGTCGTGTGATATTCTGCATAACCTGATGAGTGTTTCTTGGTTTGATAAGCGGTTCCGTATCTTTACTCCAGTGGAGGCACAATAACTGAGGCGCACTTTGTGAGACGGTGGGCGAAGGACCTAAAGACTCCATGTTCTTGCCAATGACGTCAAGTGAAGGATTCGGCTGTGAGTCTTCGTCTCCTCCTCTAAATCTGTGAACAGATGTTGTTCGTATGTTGTGTGCGTTCCAAGAGCTCATTTCTCCTGCAAACTCCTGAGGGCATAAACATGAAACCTTCACGTCCAACTCAAGCCCCTAAGCCATGACCTTTGGATGACAGCATGGAGCTGCGGACCGAAGGTCAAAGAGACTATGAAGGAGCAGATCAAACTTGTCATCTCTGGTAAGTTCAGGATCAGTTTTCCTCCCTTGTGGGAGGTTTGCGTCTCGCCAGCTGCTAGCCATGGTGAGGTCGAGCGTTCCGACCTTCGGATCGAGCATAACAGATGGTCCACGGCTTCACTCAATGGTCATCTGTAACTCTACGGATGCGAATCAATGACTCATGGCGCCATCCTTTGTCGAGCATCACCTTGGGTGCCATGCTCAAGTGTTACGGGTTATAGGGTCTTTAGTGTAGCCGTCGTGGTTACCTTGGCTGTGCGAAGCTTAGCTTTAGTCTGGCAAGCCAACGGAGTGAGATTGTCCTGTGGGGAAGAATATGACATTGAGGTGATGTTGGCGCTCTGTTATCTCAGGTTGTCGAGAGTAAATAGCTGGATATTATATCCCTTTCCAGCATGCTTTGAGGTGTGACTACTGATTAATGTGCCGTGGATGAGGCGTGCGCGTTGTCGTGTTTCACCTGTAGTGACAGTCGTTTGACGCTGAAGGTAAGGCAGCCATGGGCCGTTTCGTCTCGTTGCAGGGGCGTGTTGTGTACGAGGCCGATGAGCTGGATGCATGGAAGCATTTCAGTCCCAGTATGCAGAGAGGGCCATCTTACTATCTGCCAGTGTTGGTCATGTATGGCGTATCAGAAGCTTGACTACCCTTGTAGGCACAGAATTGACGGGTAGAAAATGGTTCGGAACGTATTGGACGTCATCCCACGGAACTCAGAACACTACGATCAGAAGTCCTGCATTTTTGGTGAGTTGACGTCAAGTCTGGATTATAGTGTTTGCGCTCCAGGTTGAGACGAATCTGCAAACCTATACACAGGTCGCTTGATTTAGAACAGGATGAAGCTACAACGGACATGGTTAGTAGAAACGGAGGCGCGGAGCGAGGTTCAGAAGGCAGGCTGCTTGTGACGTCTATACGAGAGCAGGACGAGCCTCTAAACTTTTACTTTGACAAGAAGCCAGGAAACAGCACGTTAGTTGGTGTTACAGGATCGCGATTGTATAAGATGCAACTGTGCGCCGAGCGTGTCGACTTGGGAAGTTATGTCCGCCACGAAACGCGACAGGCTGAATATCTAGTCCGTGGTGGCTCCACACGTTCCATCTGCAGGATTCAAGGTTAGATTGCTTCCAGAACGCTATACGATATTGCAACCGATGTGGAAACACGAAGAATAAAGGCTATTGGAGATACCATGAGTATTATTTCTGCCTGCTACGAAGCCGAGCCCAGGCTGCGAAACAAAGCTCCAGAGTGCGCTATTAGGCCTGCGAGAAATAAGAGTGCTGCGACAATGGAAACGCGTTTGGCTCTGCCTTCCCGTTCTTTTGCAATCAGTGGGACCAATGCTGGGTACGACTCCACCACATGGTAGGCCACGCTACCTTTGCGAGGTCTGAGTCAGATGATAAACCCATTGGCCGTCGCCGATTTCAACAACTAATTAGCACCCTCACGGCTTTCGTGGTCTAGTGGTATGATACCTGCTTCGGGTGCAGGTGGTCCCGCGTTCGAATCGCGGCGAGAGCCCATCTCATTTTTTGCATTTCTTTTTGTCGATGTGTCCCAATACTCCCCAAACCAACACAGCCCGGGGTGAGGGCGGGGTGAGGGCGGGGCGAGGGTGGGGTCAAGAACATCAAAGATCACGAGTCGCACCGCCAAATATGACTAGCCTCTACGGAGTCTACGAGGGGCACTTGGTAGCCACACCAAACTGTGTGGGGTGCCCAAATTTGGCCTCGGGACTTACCACGCACATTCGAATGCTTGCACGATACTTGTGGTCCACAGTGCTGTTCACCTCTAGCGAAGTACCGTCTTAGCTTCTGGCAACATCATTGCCCGGCCTGCTTGGGACGACGGTGACAATACTATACGGAGGCCAAATTTGGGCATCAAAGGGATAATAGTGATGGCGAGAAGCGACGCGATGTGCCTTCATACCTGACCAAGGAACTGTAGACTTTTTAGTTTCGGATTGAACATTATGAGTAGTCGGATCAGGAGGAAGTTTCAATTGGATACCTTCACAAAAGCAAGACGCAACATTCACCATCCTTCATTAAGTCTAACATGATTTATCGTTGGGTTTTCGACGCCATTTCATTCCGGTGTTTTCATTCCACTTGAATGGACCGGTTCTCGCGGAAAGCATCGAGTCGCCCGATGTCAGCCCCTGAAGCATCGTGAATCGACGTCCCTTAGAGAAAATGCACATTATCTTTGAATTATCCGTATATGTATGTGCCGGCAGTCTCCCGAAGTAACAACCAATAAGCATCCCCACCGTCTGTGTGGTCTAGAGGTATGATACCTGCTTCGGGTGCAGGTGGTCCCGCGTTCGAATCGCGGCACAGACCCAACCCTTTTTGCATTGGCCCACACTGTTTCCATTGGCGTCCTTTTGATGTTTCACAAGCATGGCTTTTGCCCTGATAACCATTGCTATTCAAGCATCCCTTTCTTTTCCATGTGTCTCTGATAGTCGTCTTGTGTCGACTTCTACTTTGACGAGGGCGATTGTTATTTGGATGGCATTTTGGACCATTACTTGTGACACGAGGTAATCATCGGTCGGAAGTGCCCAAGCGAGTACCATGTCCGTGAGCGCGCCATATCAGTCTCATAATTCTGAGTTCATTCTCCAAAAGTAAATCTCTCAGCGCCTGGAGATGAATGTGTCCTTGATCAATCACGCTTGCCTCATGGGTTCCTAGCTCAAACCGAGATAGCCGGGTTCACGAGCAAGGGCAGCACACAGGCTAGCCATGTGTTCACCACAGCATACCAGATTCCAACACACAAGCACAACATAACATACTGCCGTGCATGAATGAGCCGTCTCCGTTTCAAGCAAAAAAGACTTGCGTATGGGCATGTTCGCTGAGTGATGATTGAAGGCACTGTGATTTGGGCCAGAACTGCGGCTACATCTCATCACGTGAGGGTATCGGGGACACAGCGGATGCAAAGAACTTGTTTATACAATATGAAGGCACATAGTTTGTAGATTGCTTCCATTACTATTGTGAGCCTCCACTACAGCACGCTTAGCATGAATGGAAGATGCTCTCATTACTGCAGTGATTCATTCCAGTTGACCGATTCAGCTGCAACCCCATACCCAACAACCCATGAATTCCGTCCAAGCCAGTAGACCCGATTCCCTCAGGCGCCAGCGCCATTTCTCTCGTGTACGCCTATGGAGCACGAGGTATCAATCTCACTGAAGGTCGCGCTTCATCTTCTCGTAGAGGCGGGCCTTCTCCATGGTGGCGCGAGCCAGCAAGCGGCGGGCTTCGGTGGCATTGGCGGTACCAGCAAGCTGCACGGGGACGACGCCGCCAAAGGGACCAGCGTTGGCATCATTCATGCAGCGGACCATACAGACATTCTCCTGGCCGGCGACGGTGCCCGTGCAGGTCTGACTAGCGGGAATAGCGGCCACCATGGGGAAGTCCGACTGCTCGCCATCCTGCGACATGTATTAGCGATGAACTCTGAAGTCACACGATTTAAAAAGTCTTACGCGATTGCGAGAGTTGCGGCCGGGCGGGCTCTGCATGACGGTAATGTCGGTCCAGGTCTGGGCAGTACCGTCGGCGTTGATGGCGCAAGTGTAGGGGCCGCCGCCGTCCGAGTTGACCTGGTGCAACGTCATGTCAAGTTGACCACCAGGGCTGACCTGCGGCAGCTGATCACCCATTTCCGTCATGATCGCGGTAGTGCCGCTCTCGATGTTGTTGTCGCCGGCACCGACAGTCTCGCCGATGGTCTCAGACTGGTCACCCCGGAAGCGAGTCGCATCTTGCTGGAAGGGGTTGCGGCGAGTGCCATCGCGTGGGGTGGACGTGTCGACGCCGAGAGCCATGCCAGTGCCGCCAGCGTCACCAGTGGCGGCGATGATGGCCGCGTGGCCCGAGACGAGCTGAGCAATGGCGAAGAGGGAGGCGAGCGCGGAGGTCTTCATTTTGATGGATTGTGATGTGTCTGCTTGTGAAACGGTGTGAAAGTGGAATCAATGGTACCGGACCTGCGAAAGAGAATAGAAGGCGGCGTCAACGCTCTGGATGGGTGAAGAGGGGATGAGGGTGTCGATGCTTGCGGATGCTGTGAGTGATGAACAACAAGCTACCTGAATGGAGCGAACACGATGATCTTTTGTATTCGAAAGTTGGGGTTGTCGTCGGTGGATTCACTGACGAGCCTCGAAGAAAATTTCGAGGCCGCGTTTCCGCCTTGTCGCCCCCTCATCCGAAGATTGTCGTGAGCACAGCCATCTCAAACAAGCTTATCGAGCGTGATATCCCCAGATCAGTCGGTTCTGAGGCGGGCACGCCCTCTGCCCAGCCGCACCTGCGACTAGCAGGAGGTGGTGACCGTCTGTCCTTTTGCTACAATCCCCTCTCGTTTCTCCCTTACCGTGAGTAAATGCTGTGCGACGTAATCGAATCGCGCAGTCAAGGTGAGCCCTTCTTCATGAAGGCCCCAGGGAGCATCGATGGGCCCTCCACTTTGGGAGTGGGCCTCGCAGCGGGAAACGTTGGCGAAAGAGCACACGGCACTTCTTGGTATATCCTCAAACTAGAACCCGCGACACGGTCCCCGTGGTGGTTCTGACCTGCCACATGTGCTGCGGACGAGATGGGAGGAGATGAGACGGAACAGTGACACGAACAGGACTGCAGTTTGTTCTCTTCTAGAATTAGCCTGCGTTTGATTGTGTGTGTGGCGTGTGAGGTTATTCGGCGTCTTCGCTTGAAGACAGGGATGACCTGTGTCGTCGAGCTCTCGGGTTGATCACGAAGAACACGATTCACGTCAGTTCGCGACATCCCCCATGAAGAGGAGCAGACCCCACGATACGATGTGCTGCAGGCATGATCAGTACCGTCGATCATGGAGCCCCTGTACCCAGCGGGAGCGACGGCATTCTACGATTCCACGCAGGGCTGCAGTGCCCATCTCCCGCTCGTGGCGAAGCTGCCAAGAGAGACGGTGCGCGGGCGACTAAGACTCCGCGCGTTTTTGACCAAGGATCGCGTGGTCTGTGGGTAAGCGCTGTGACGCGGGAGGAACAGGGAGCTGAGACGCGCTGAGCAGCAGAAGTTATGGGGCTGTCTGGCTGTGTAGGAATGTCAAAGCTCATTCATGATGACGGAGGCTGTGATAGAGCGGACGGAATAAGGTCAATGGGAAACGAGAGGAGGATGTATTGTTTGGCTTCTTGAAACTGCGTGGGCAGGGTTTGTTACCGCCTTGGCAGGTGGGTACAGTGAGGATCTTGAGCGCACCGAGCCAGATGCGCCCTGTGATGGACGCTCTCAGCGCTTTCTCAGCGCTTGAGATTCATGGCGGATACCAGGAACTGAGCAACATGGTCAATCTGACGAGTGAACCTGAATCCGATGGCGCTACTTCCTCGCCAAGCAGGGAACAATTGTCGGGGAATTGAGATGAAGCAGAACTCGATGACCTCGTGCAAACAGCTGACGTATTGCGTGCAGCTTGGGTGGGAGGATAGATGGAAAGGGGTCCGTCAAGTCAGATCAGCGGTATGTGGCGCTGCGCTCACGACTGACGACAGGGGCCCAGGAATCATCTCCAGACCGTTTCTTCTTCAAAATTCATCACCATGAGCTTAGTTTTCGATACGCTGATTCAGGACCCAAGGATTCAGATGATGCATCAGTCGATCAAGTTGGTTGGTCGATCAACCTCCAACACCCCCGAACCCCCATCATTCTCTCATTAGGCTTGAGCTCCAAGTCTGCTCTCTCGACGAAGACGCTACGCTCCGCTGCAGAAGAGTCGTATCGGTGGTCGTGGTGGTACGATGAATGAGAAGTAAACATTACAGTCTGTTCTCTTTTCAGGTGCCAGTGCGATGAAACGAACAGAGAAATGGAAGAACGAATGCTTGCTTTCTGTGCCACCAGGAGCTGCAGCTTTGCATGAGGTGGCTGAGCTTCGTACCTGTATGGCATGAGTAATGCCAAACGATGCAGCGTTGGTGTTACGAAGATGATCTCAATGCCGGGATTCGACCCGACCCATATGCCTATTCACGAGGACAGCGACCGCAGTCGGAAGCGCCTGTTCAGCTCTTCAATAGCAAAAAATCGCTATCGAGATGCCTTCAACGCGTGGTACCGCCAAGAACCTCCATGTTTTTAATCATGAAACGTGATTATCAAAGTAGCCCTGCGTCACATGGATGAGGCGCAAATATGCAGCCCGAGAGCACAATAGCCCTGTCGATCCCCCCACCTCCTCGGACAGTTTGATGCCCCGACAGTGCTAGGCCAACGCCGCTGCGCTGCAAGCCGGCTCTTTAGCGGACCTCGCCAGGCCAAACGGGAGGATGCCGTCCGTCAGGGAGCATGTTGCAGACCAGGGTCCTAGGTCGTTTTGCTAAACTATTGAATGGACGACTGCATAATCGTTGCACCCCTCGAGTTTAGGGCCTAAAAGATGGCTGTCGTGTCACTACATGACATGCATCCGGTACAAAGAAAAGAATCTGATAGAGAACGCCACTTCCCCGCTTCCCCGCCACATTGTCCTTTATCAAACTGCCCTGTCTCGTGAAGTTGAAAAATCGTGGTCTTTCTTTGTAGACATGACATGCCAGTGGTGTATTGCGACATTCTAGCGCCTCTGACCCATTTGTTGTCTAGGTAGTGCACCACAGGCGCGTGCCAATCAATATCTGGAGTTCACCTAATCACAAACGCATCCAGCAACTTGGATCACAACCATTGTTGGTGCACATCCACCAGTACGCAAACCCAATTACCACAGGCGACTCAGAGCAGGGCGCTTCTCTCTGGTGGAGACTGTTCCCATCATGATGTATGACACGGATGTCAACGTGTCGAGCAGACGGTCTTTGACGCAATCTTTAATCCGGTTAAGTTTCTTGGTTCTGCTGATCGGTTTTGGTTACTTGGTCGCAAGGCTTGTCCAGGTCCGGCTGAAATTTCGACGATTAAGGGCACAGGGCGTGGTAAGTCTTCCTATTTCAGCGAGACTTAGTCTGAAATGCATCGTGATACTGTGTCTAGGCCGAGGGGCACACTTCTGCTTGGCTTGAGACCAAATGTCTAATAGGTTCCAAATCTGACTACATGACAGCCATTGATGCCTCATGCCTTCTTGACGGGCCATCTTCGCATCATTGCTAAACTCACTGGCGGGTTGCCTACGGACCTTCATCCCAACTACATCTCTCAGCTTATCTACCAAAATTGGCGGACACTGTTTCCCGACCGCGTATCATGCCCCGGCGCCCTCTACGTCGATATGTGGCCGATCGCGCCGCCCCTGCTTTTCATCACTGACGCCTTCCTCGCTAACCAGTTCATCGTCGAGCCGTCGCTCCCTCGCCCTCCTAACGCGAAGAAATACCTGGCTCCTCTCACACACAACCTTGACTTGGTCTCTCTCGAAGGCACTCCTTGGAAGACATGGCGCAGCATCTTCAATCCTGGTTTCAGTGCCAAGAATCTCATGACACTTGCTCCGGCCATCCTTGATGAGGTTGCCACCTTTGCCGACATACTCCGCGAGCATGCTGGCACGTCAGAGAAACCTAGCTCATGGGGCCCTGTTTTGCAGCTCGAGACGCTGACAACCAACCTCACATTTGACGTGATTGCCCGTGCAGTTCTCGATATATCACTGAACGAGCAGCGTGCCGGACCCTCTGTGCTGAAGGAGGCGCTTGTTGACCAGCTTTCGCTCTGCATGTTCGACTACAACATCCTAACGCTACCCAAGATGCTTTCGCCACGACGTCACCTTTCCATAGCTAGGAACACAGCCGCTATGCGAGGCGTTCTTCTGCCTGCTGTGGAGCGCAGCCTCCGTCCTGATCGCGCCAAGGAGACAACCGCGAGAACGATCATTGACCTGGCTGTGAAGGCGTACGCAAAGGAGTTCAACGAAGCTGCTGTCATACCGCCGCCTGACGCGGCGTTTGTTGACTCGGTGCTTGCGCAGCTGAAAATCTTTCTTTTCGCTGGTCACGACACCACCGCCACAGCCATCTGCTGGCTACTGTACAGCATTGCCAAGCACCCTCAGGTTGCGGAGCGCATCCGACAGGAGCATATTTCCGTCTTTGGAACGACAAGGCATGCGACGCGCGAGAAAATCAGGCAGGCGCCTCATCTGCTGAACTCACTCCCGTACACGCTCGCGGTCATCAAGGAAACCTTCCGTATATTCCCCGGCCCTGGCGGTATTCGGAACGGATCTGCTGACTTCTTCATGACGGATCCCACCAATGGCATGCGCTTTCCCACCGACGGGTTCATGATCTGGGATGGCATTCGTTCGAAAGTCCGGGCCGAAGAGCAGTGGCATCGCGCCGACGAGTTTCTCCCCGAGCGATGGCTCATAACTGATCATGAAGATGCGCTGTGCCCAGGCAAAGATTCGTGGCGCGTATTTGGACTAGGGCCTCGAAATTGCATTGGTCAAGAGCTGGCACTGATGGAGCTGAAGCTCGTTGTCGCGCTTGTGATCAGAGAGATGGACGTCGAATGCGCATGGGAAGAATGGGATATTCAAAGGTAAGAGGATACCTCTAATCACTCATGAATTCCGTAACTGACTTGATATTTGCAGTGGCAACACTGGGCCAAAAGATGTGGTTGATGGCGAACGAGCATATCAGAGTGGTGCAGGGACACCACACACAAAGGACGGAATGCCAGTACATGTGAGGCTCAGACAACCCTGAGAACATGACATGGGAAGATGAAGTCATATAAATGTGGCCTAGGTCAAGCAGCTCTTGCCGATCGCGCAGGAATATCTACGTTGATCGTGAAGCCAGTCCTCCGACTCTTTGCATCCGCATAGAGGTATGGATATTGCCACGGTGGCACGGTAAAGTAGAAGAAGACAAACACCCAGAAAATCCCGAGAACCTTGGACAACAGGCCGAACCATGGCGAGCTTTCTTTGCGCTGCTGCATCTTCGTGAACATCAACCGAGTCAAGCAGACTTCAAACAGTCCACCGAAAAAGTTCAGCATCAAGAAGACCATGTCTCCGATGAGATCCTCCACAGGGGCCGTTGCTTTCGTAACCCAATTTACGGCAATATGTGTAGCTCCCGAGACGGCGAATACCCAGAATGCCACGAATATTTTCTCACTCTTTGAGCCGGCCTCGATACCCAGACCACCTCTTGCGATAGTTCGACCCCATATTGCCTGCGATGTGGACCCTATCTTGTGCCAAAAGGCGCCCCAGAAGTGCCTCAGTGAACAAGCCTTGAGCGGACTTCCATACAGGGGGGGCCAGTCCGCCGGCTCGTCAAACTGTAGGACACCAACGAAAACAATAGCGAGTAGAGCATTGGCAACGACGAGAATGAGATACGTCAAATATGCCCAATGGAATGCGTATATGACGCGTAGCATCATTCCTCGATCTGCCGTCAGATGGACATAGCTCCTCGTTTTGGCGGTAAAGTCATTTGGCCGAGGTGTGATGGCCAAGAGAATGACGAATTCGACAAAATGGTACGATGTCCATAAAGCAATTAGAAGTCCAAGTTTGCGAGCAACGAAGCCGACCCGGGAGCCATGTCGAGTTATGGGGACAGTGGGAATATTCAGACGCCTAGGGTTCATCCATACTTTGTAGCAGGCGAGAAGGCTCCAGCCAGCTGATTTTGTGCTTCCTGGGGCCCAGCACTCAATGTAGAGAGCTGACGTGACGTGGAACACGTAGATGATGGATGTGAAAGCCCAAAGCCAGTCGAGACCTGCTGCCAGTGTGCCAGCGCTGTTGAAGCAGAGCAGCGGCCCCATGATGTTGAAAGGGAGTAGCGCCCATCGTCGTGGACCTGGCTCTTTGTGCGCCGTAAGTACAAAAGCTGGGTAGGAGGTCAAGAACCATGCGATTGGTTTTGAACCTCGCAATATGGCCATCATGTCTGCATTCCAGAGCAGACGAAGGAACCGGCTTTCCATTGCAGGCTTTCGGTTAGCAGTTTGGTTGTGTATGCGAGATGATTGAGGTGTCAACAAAGACTTCGGTGCAGTCTGGAGGTTTTCTCTACAGTGCAGTATTGGGAGCAGAAAAATATATTGCCCAAGTACTCGTGAGGTGAGATACCTCGGCAGCTTTGCATGAGAATCGATATGTCAGATTGTGATGGTCGTGAAGATCATTCGGAGACCATAAAAAGGTCCGAGTACGATGTATGATCAGCCGGGGTCTTGGCAAAGTAATGTGAGGCTGAATTCGATGTCCTGTGCAGAAATTGCATGTAAGAAGCCGAAAATGGAAGAGAACTTTCGTAGTCAAATCCACCGACCCTCCGCTTCCCCGCATGGGAAGGATTCCGCTAGACGCCGACTTGGCTCCGGCACTTGCGCTAGGATCGTCACCCGTCCGCCGCGACTCATAGGGAAAGTAAGACAATGTAACATGGAAATGTTACATCAAGCGCAAGAAGGATTCAAACAATGGAGCACGTATCCCACCTTCTCAAAAAGCTCTTGTCGTACCACTTCAAATGTGTGGAGTTGAGGCCCTACCTCGATTACATCATTGGCCATTGTAAGAACACCAAGACGGAGAGCGGCCGATTGGGTTCCACTCTGGCACACCTGTTCCCGCGGGGAGCTGGTGTTCATTAAACGGAATTTCTGGCACCCGTTAGTGCTGATATGCTCCAGATGTCGTGTTGGCCTGGTTGCAAGCCGAGCCTTGTCTACACTTTACGCGTACATCGCCTGACATTGAGCGCAGGTGCTTTGTATGGCCAAGAGCTTGACTAGTCGTGCCAAGTCGAATCCTTTGAGCTCGAAGACTGGGTCAATGGAGTAGCTCAATCGGCATTCAACGACTGGCTGAGACCTCCTCATAGTCAATGTACATCACAGCTGGACAGGCATTTCCATTGCAGGGAGTTGAAGTTCCGATGATGTTTACAGATCCACAACCTCCCAGCTCTGGATAGGCGATAGCGTCTTCATTCTGCTTCTTGTAGGCATGTTCGAGCTCATGACCATTTTGGCTGTATATATTCTCTAACACGGTCCTGCCCTGCCAATCACTTTGGCCCCATAAAAAGCTTCGGAAGTACACAGTTTACCACCTTTGAAAGAATGAACTCAGCAGGCCCTTCGTCAACGGACTTGAATTCTTGGCAATACTGAAATCGGAATGATGTGTTCTAGTTACGCAATTGCCCAGGCATACTGGCTCGCACGGGCTTCGCCGGCTACGAAGCAAGGATGTTGGTCTTGTCGTAACTAACATAGTTTGTGACGAACCAGCATTGTAACAACGCATCGGTAGGAAGCTGGGCACTGCTTGGATTATCTTCCTAAATTCGCGCACGAACTTGTCTTTTTGGCCACCTGGCATAGGCTTTTCGGGAGACCTGTACCCTCTTGTTCGCAAAAAGACCTCTCAAGGACATCCATGGAATACGATGAAGAACGGCGTTTTCTATCCGCCACATGTGGCACGAAGTTTGCAGCTCCGATGCCAGCACGACGAAGAAGCCTGTCCTGGCTATCGGCACCACGAATCCGAACTGCACGTTGCAAGGTGGCAACATCCAAAATACCACGGCTCAACATAGTTTCAGAGGCCTGTTGCTGACCAACTTGGCTCTAATGCATTGTGATCTTCACCCAATGGCTAAGGATACGGAGATTTACCTCCAGTCAATCTTGGCAATCATACAATAGACATGAATCCCTCGGGTCTAACAGCTTTCTTGCTAGCATAGCCAATGTGTAGAACGTGTAGCACTTGCAGTGGAGCAATGTGAGAAAGCCCTCACTCGCATGAGCCGGTGATTTGTGGAACTGGGTGAATCGTTAAATGTTTATAAAAGCCGTTGACTCTTGCTTTCTATTTTCTTTTGTCCGTATTCATTATCCTGCGACCTCAAGCACTTCCATTCAGAAAACTCATTCCTCATACACATTCTCGTCAAACATATCGAATATCCATCATGAAGACCTCTGCCGTCCTGACGCCTCTCGCCCTCGTTGCTGTTGGCCTGCAACCAGTCAGCGCCGACATTGGCCGTGGCGCTGGTCTTGTCATCGACTTGTTTGGCCAGGGTATTGCAGAGCTCTTTGTAGAGATCTTCTCGAAGAGAGACGCTGCCAACGTTATTGTTCGTCGTCAGGTTCCCGGCGTTCCGGAGTTTGAGTACCAGCGCTGCCGCGAAGACATTGCGGGCCTTACCATCACTGCCACTTCTCCTGCCCCGAATTGTAAGTCGGACCATAGGTCTCACACCTCGAATCCGTGATTGCTGAATCAAGTAAATCTGCAGCTGTTCAGTTCACTGGTGTGCCTCCTACCTGTATGAACCTGGCTGGTGTGCTTGTCGGTGACGAACCCGGCCCGTATGCCCTTCCTTGTGGCTCCGACTGCCTCATCTACGAGGACCTCACACCCGAACAGTTTGATGAGCTTGTCAGCGTTCTTCAGAGTGTGTAAGCAGAAAACACATACCACCTGCCAGATCCCGGCATGCCATAGGTAATCGCACGACATGGTAATGCAGTAATGGTAGATAAGAGGTTTTCGGTCAAAGCCGCAATATTCCTCATCATAGGACTTTCTCATGTTGCAAATTTCAACAATTTGACGACTTATACACACAATAAAACGTTCTGGCCAACCCTATTTTCCCTGGCCCTATGTTGATAATCATGAGATATCATGCAATATTCAAATAAACAAATTTAGTCCGAGATTATGGGAACCTCACTGAACGCTGATCTCCTTGGTGATGCTTTCATCATTACCACCGCCTTCACCATCGCCGTGCCTTTCAGAGTCCGCGCCCCGCGTTTCAGTCCCAGCGGTGCGGAACTTTCTTACAGGTACTCCGCGCAAGAATAGCTCATCTATCTCTTCTAAAGTCTTGCCGCCGCATTCTGGAATACAGAACCAGGCAAAAAGAATGGCGAAGAAGGATGTGGATCCAAATATGAAGCCAACCTTTGACCCAAGCCCGGCATACGCTGGGCTCAGAAGGTATGGAATGCTGAAGGACACTGCGAACTGAATTGTTATGTTAAAGACCGACCCGAACGCATACGTAAGATCCCGCAGCGCAGTGGTGGGAATCTCGGCTGCCACAACATGCGAGAGCGGTGCCCATACAAGGCAGAAGCCGGCGCCAAAGAGAATTGACACGGAAACGATGCCGCTCTTGATACTGTCAGACGGGTCCGGTATAGTCCCGAGTCCGCCCATTGTAAGAAGCGCTCCAGTCTGGATAACAGCTCCAGATACCAACAAAGGTCTTAGAAAATTCAGTTGCTAGTCTCAAGGCATGTCAAGATGTCTTCAAGTTGAAATCACTTACACTCTACCAGTCTTATCACTAATGAGCTGTGTGACGAGAACCATAAAGAAGCCAGTGGCGGTTGAGACACGCGACATGGCAAAGGGATTGACAGTGCCCAGAGACTGGATGAAAGTTGTGCCATAGATGGAGCCGCAGTTCTGACCGGTAAGCTGTAACAAAACATTGGTGCCAACAGTAATTAATGTTCTCTTGCAGTTGGCTGTTTCTCTGTGACCAGTTGAGAACTCGCCTAATGCAAGTGAAGGATGCAACCTACTGCCTTCAAAAAGGTTCCTGAAGCTTGCTGACTCTACAGTGACGTTAAGAGCATTCTGTATCTCATTAAACTCGTCTGTTATTTCTTGCTCAGTGTAACGTCCCTCACGAAGGAGGCGAAGTGAGTTGAGTGCCTCCTCTGGTCGATTTCTTAGGAGAAGCCAACGGGGTGACTGTCAATGTAGTCAGTATCTCTGCAGGCGCGTAGATAAGTGGACGAATTAATAAGTACCTCCGGAATCCACCAAATTCCAACAGTTAAGATGGATGGAATAATAAAAAAGAGTCCAAGAGGTATACGCCAAGAAGCATGGCTGTCAATGTCGCTTGTACCTCGACAGATGACGGCCATCACAAGAGCTCCAATCTTTGGAATGCACTGGTCAGCAATTCCGAGCATAGCAGAACTGAAGGCAAAGGTTGAGACATACCATCACTCCTTGCTGATAGGTCCCAACCACAAAGCCGCGCACTTCAGCTGGTGCCAATTCTGATTGTAACACGGGAACAAGAGCCAGCTCCATGCCAATGTAAACGTAAGCTACTATACGGCCGACGATCATTTGAACGCCATGCTTCGATGTAACCAGAATGACGGCCGATAATAAGGCCCAGAGGCACATAACAAAAAGCGCTATCCTTCGGCCAAATCGACGACTTAGAAGATTACCTGTCACCAGGCCAAACATGAAACCAACGTAGTTAATGCTGTTAAGAAGAGACAGATAGACCGTGTCGAGGTCGTGGGTGCCCGTGGCTTCGTTGAAAGCTCCAAAATGTTGCTTGAAAAAAGGCATAGCTTGAGTGTTCCCGAATGCAGCCTGGTCGGAGCCAAAATTGACTTGGGATAAGGCGATGAGGACGCAGGAATACAAGAGGCAACCATTGAAGCAGGCGGAAATGCCGCGAGAACGCTTCGTAGGTATAGTGCCTTTTAGTGCCATAGTAGAACATGTGCGATGATGTGTTAATGTTTGCATGTGTCTGCCCAGATACCGAAATGGTGCATGCGAGGTTGGAAGCTCTTACACAAACTGGACATAGTGGTTGGGAGCGCAAAAACACTTTTTGTCGTCAGAACCTCGCATAAGCACGCAACGCGGCCTAGATATCGATTGTGAGGTCCATCCCCCAGCCGAGAAACCAATCTTGTCGAGAGGAGATATCCCACCCCAACGCTGTTCTGAAGCTTAACTGCCAGGTACTTGCACAAAGAAGTTCACTGATATTGACAAATTGCGTCAACGCTAAGGACGAGACAAGATAGGTGGCTTCGTCGAAGACGTACCAAAGTGGAGCTACCAACGGACTTTGACGGGGAAGCACGGAATTCAGAGGAGAACCCCTGACACTGACCCATGTGGGTTGTAGACTTCCTTGGTTGCCGCGCGGGGCACTCACGCTTCTAGTTCGTGACTCCGTTCATACCCGTCGTGCAAACGAAGGCGTCATTGTCCACCGATGCCCGTCAAAGTCCGGTTCTAGATCCTTGAATTGACTATCATAAAAAATACTTGGGTAGTAAGCTATTGTACGGAGCCAGTGGGGGATAATTCATCGCCAAGATTAAAAACCCTCCCGCCTGCCATCTATTTCGCCCCAGAGGATGTTTGCGAAATGAAGAGCGTTCCACATACCAAGATCTGAAGGTTTGGTTCTGCCACATAAAAAGTCTCAACACATCAAAACTTCGGGACCGACTGACAAGATGGGATCTATACCGTCGACAAAACGCCCCAACTTTCTCATCATCATCGCTGATGACTTGGGCTACAGCGATATTGGGTGCTTTGGTTCTGAGATCAAGACTCCTGCCTTGACCAGCCTTGCTCGAACCGGCATTCAGCTCACAAACTTCCATACGGCTCCAGCATGCTCTCCAACGAGGAGCATGCTCTTTTCTGGGACTGACAGGCACATTGCTCGATTAGGTCAGATTTCAGAGTACATGAATCAAGACCCCCAGCCGTATACAGGGAGGCCAGGCTACGAAGGCTACCTCAACTTTCGAGTTGCTGCTCTAAGCGAAATCTTGCAGGATAATGGCTACCATACCATTATGTCAGGAAAATGGTCAGTCAGGAATACTTTCCTCACACAGAAACCTCGTTCGCTGACACTTTCCTTCAGGCATCTTGGTCTCAGCAAAGAAACATCTCCAGCCGCCAGGGGTTTTGACAACAGCTTTGTCTTTCTCTCCGGCTGCGGCAACCACTACAATTATGAACCTCAACTCGATAACCCATGGCATTCACTGGTCACGCCAATGAATGCCGGAAAGTTCTGGCTGCAAGACACCGATTTCCTTGACAGGACCAAACATATCCCCGAAGATTTCTACTCGACCACTACCTTCACTGATAGATTGATCGGTTATCTTGATGAGAGAGAAGACAGTGCACAACCATTCTTCGCTTACCTACCATTCACTGCCCCACACTGGCCCTTACAAGCACCCCGCGAAACAATCGACAAATACAAAGGTCTATATGACGAAAGACCCGTAGTGTTGCGGAGGAAGAGGCTGGACAAACTGGTCGAGCTAGGGCTTATCTCAAAGGACGTGGAACCAGCACAAATGACTGTCGAGCTTTGGGACACGATGTCCCCTACCGAGCGAGCGGAGTCCGCGAGAAAGATGAAGATCTACGCCGCGATGGTTGATCTCATCGACGTCAACATTGGTCGGGTCGTGGACCATCTTGAGGCCACTGGAGAGCTTGATAACACCTTTGTTCTATTCATGTCCGACAATGACGCTGAAGGAGCCATGCTGGAAGCCCTCCCGCTGATGGGTGGCGCTGGTACTTTCCAAACGATTATTGACAAGTACTACGATAACTCACTGAAAAACATGGGGATGGCGAATTCCTTTGTCTACTACGGCACGGAATGGGCTTGTGCTTCCATGGCACCATCGAGGGGTTTCAATACATATAATACTGAAGGTGGCACCCGCTGCCCCTGTCTAGTCCGGTATCCAGCCTTCGCCAAATCCGGGACGAATACAGACTCGTTTGCAACTGTGATGGATATCCTCCCGACAATCATAGAGCTGGCCGCCATCCCCCTGCCGGGAAAAAGGCCGGCAGGTAGTCACTGTACGAGGAGCTTCTTGGGCACCGCATCTAGACAATCACGCCCCCTCCTTTCATGATGAGGAAAATCAAATCACAGGCTGGGAGTTGTTTGGCCTAAGAGCCTTACGTCAAGGGCCGTGGAAGGCGTTTTACATGACTGCCCCTCGTCTGAGTGAGATTTCAGACAGGTAGTAGCACCATCCGCGCTCATTTATGCGGCTATGGGTATCATCAACGCAATTGGGGCTCTCGCCAGTGCCAGATGACATCTCTGTTGCTGTGAACTCAAGGTCCTCTGGCGGTTCTGGAAAGGCGTCTGGGTACCGAAAGTCGTTAAGTCCACTGGGTCGAAAGTCTAATTCCAGTAGGAACTCACTGGGAAAGGTTAACCGACAGGAAGCGGCGGTGTACACGGATCACGTAGGAGTCTCATACTTTTCTGCTCGACAGCATGACCAGAACAGGCGTTGCTCAAGGTGCCGATCTTCAGTCTGTGACCCACGAAATGGGGCACCAGGCCGTTCTCCTCGTGCCAGGAATAACGTCTGCAGACCGAAACAAGCTTGTTGAATAAAGGACCATGCCTGTAGTGGACGCAGTGAGAACTTTTCAAATACTGAGGCAAGAAAAAAGCATTGTATGTCGCGGACGGAATGACCAAGGGCCCCAACTCGTTTTAAGGCTGCAGCATAGTAAGCCTCTGCTGTCGCCCGATTCTCTTTCTCGAAGACCGTCGATCCTTGCCAGGCGTCCACAATATCGGGGATTTGACTTGGCTTGACCCATGGCAAAGTATAGGAGCCCATGGCGCACGCAACAAGCTATGAAATATTCAGATAGGATACAGGCCGTAATGTGATGGAGTAAGTACTTACAACAAGGCACGAGGCTGAGTCCCACTGCAACCCATTTTCTTCGACCAATCGAGCATGGTGCAGGAGGTCATGCCCGTCAAGTATGGGATTACGTGGATGGACGATGGCAAGGAAGCGCTTGCTAAAGTGAACAAATTGATCATCCGGCAAAGTTCGAGAGGAACTGCTGGTATTTCCCTGTTTTTGATCATTCTCTAGCGCGTATTCAAAAGGAAATGACACTATGTTGGCGACGTTGTTCGGTACAACATCTCGGAGAGCGGGTCACTTCAAGACGGCTTCGCATCTGAGCGACGCGAAGGATGGTCTTGTTTCAAGATCAAATTCCAGAGTCTGCCTTGTGGTTTTCGTTGGCATTCCTTGAGAATCACCTTTCCAAGTGTCAAGGGCCAGCGATTGCGGCGACGCTGTATGCAGGGTTCTAACCTGGGGTGATGATAGTGCCGGTGAGAGACCAACAATGGACTTGGAGGTGTTTACACTACTCTGTCCTCGCTGCAACATGTCTTTAAGTTCGTCCAGTCGCGCAAGAACTTCCTGGTGATTCGTGGCCAGGTTGGCCGCTGAACCGCTGTTGTTGACAGGCTCCTCCGTCTCTTCCCCATAAATGCACCTAGCTTTATGCCGTGTACAGTACCCGCATCGTGGCCTGGTGTTGTCACAGCGCGTCTTGCGGACTCGACAGAACTGACATGCTGTCACGGCGCGCTTCCTACGAGTGAAATCCGTGGTTCAGAGGCGTCGTTTCTTGGTGATTCCAGTCGTACCTGCAACATTCTGCTCGTCATCGTCGCAATTGATGGATGGGTCATCTGCAAGGGGTGATCGCGTCAAGTCGTTGTCAGACGATGCAGCTACGGGGGAAACTGCGATTGGAGTTTGCCATGACTTAGATGTTCGAAAATCAAATGTTTTCATGGTGAAAATCGACATCGTCGTGGGATTGTTCGCGGTGGGCGTCGTGTACTGCGCTTTGCTTCGTTTCGGTCTCGTGCACTCGACGGGGAATGACGGTACTCATCATCGACGAAGAAGAATTTGACGGAAGGAGACGGAGGTCTTCGAAGACTGCAATACGGAGAGGTATTGTGCGGAGACGACTGGAACATCTCTAGACTGATAACAGGCACTGGCCTGCACGGTCGCTAGCGCCATTGCGTGATGTCTGATTGCAATGAGGTGATGGCATCTCGTCCCCTTCGGGTTATCAAAAGGTTCGCCGAAGCCTCTCTGAAAGAAACTTCTTGCCTCGCGGTCCATGGTAAGCCAATTTTAAACACATATTGACCACATGTATGTGGTCAGCTACTGTTGATTGATGATAGCTAGGGACCCTAATCATGGCGGCAGAGTCAGTACCCATTTTGACTGGGTATCACACACTGCCGGTTTGGCCCAGTTGATTCTCGACTCATGGGCGCATTTGAGTTCGAACCAGCACGGTTTACCATCGCAGGGGCGTAGAGGCAACATTTGTATACCTAGGTTGGACTGATTAAGGGTACTTGTATCACGTGGGTAGATCATGGATGCAAAGAGATTCTTTGGTATACATTTATGCTTGGTAAATACTGGTCATCATCAACTCTTCAGCACATTAGACAAGTGGCCGGTATGCGTTCACATCAGGCCGGCGGCAGCAAGCATGGCAAATAGCATGACGCTCGACCCTGTCAGCTGAGCGGCACCATTATCCTCAGTCGCAGCCGACTATCGGTATGTCAACGGTTACTCTTCATGACGTTGGTACAAATCGTCTTACAGGAGTGGCGGTAGCCTCAGCAGTGGTTTGGGCAGCGGCAGTAGTTGAGCCAGCAGCCGTGGTAGCGTCAGCAGTCGCGGCAGAGCCGACAGGAACAGCCTCAAGGTCGCATGCCTCGGCGCCTTCCTCAACGCCCTTGCCGTAGTGCTGCCAGATGTCGAACTCGTTGGCGCACTCGAGGCACTCCTCAAAGAGGCCGAGCCAGGTGGAGTTGCTGCAGTGGACTTCGCCATCCTTGCTGCCCAGGATGGCATTTCCTGCGAATATTAGTGATCGGAAACAAAGGATGGTAAGTGTGATCTGAAGCGTACCACAGTTAGAGTGGCACTCAAACTTCTCCCCAGTAGCTTGACGGGCCTCGAGGGGCACGACGTCGAGATACTCATAACCAGCGACGACAGGGACGGAGGCAATGCCGGCGGCGGCAAGGAGGGCAAAGTAAGACTTCATCTTGTCAGTGTTGGAGTGGCAATGACAAGAGACTGGTGCTTGACGAGAGGCTCGATAAGGGTGAGAGCTGTGGGTTGGATCTGCGGGAAGCTAGACAGGATGCCAAAGCGAAGAAACCGCGGGAACAGCGACGTGAGGAAGTGGGAATACTATATAGAATGGGACCACCTCGGTGATGGGGCCCACGGAGATGCCTGGCTGTGTGGCCCCTGGTCCCGGAACGGCCTAGGACCTTAGGCCTAGTCTCGTTGGCAACTCTGGGCACTGCGAGGCCGGGAAAGTGTGCCTGTATAGGCAGTCATCCGATTTAGGATTCGACGTCTAGTTCTAGCCTACGTTGAGCCCACCTACGCCATTCCTCGAGTGGAGGAATTACTAACAAGTCTTCTTGGTTGCACTAGTTCCTCCTGCCTGAACGAGAGCATCCAGGCTGGCTGGTACAGTAGCTTTTGCGAATCGCAGAAACTGGTGTTCCCCGAGCTTGAAGATCAGCTGCGCAGAAAGCTTGGGGGACCGCGAGGAGACCCCATGGCAAGAACAAGCTAGCATCACTAATTTTAATGCTATTGGGCGCCCCCTTCGTAACCAGGGAATGGTGGTGCGAGCCGGGCCGTTATCTGATTGGTGTGATTCATCTTATCTGATGATCTGATAACTTTCTGGCCCTGTCCGCATCCACTCGCTCACGCACGCCAAGCCCTACGCTTCCGAACTTTGATTTTGAGCCAATCACCGAGGAAGAAGCCTTTGCAGCAGCATGCCCGGTGCCGGAGTCTGTCGGCAAGAGGGGGAGGAACACGCGAGTGGAGCGGTAAAGCGGGCGCTCGACTTGCCGGCGACTGCGTGATATAAAGGCCCAGATGCCCAGGCCTCGCCAGCAGTGAGCCGTTGGCCAAGACCCGAGCTGTCTTGGGACGACATCCGAGCCGCGAGGAGTTGCCTGCTGGGAGCCGACGCTATGCCGACCACTCTCGAGGCTTAGACAGGTACGAGTCGGTGGCAAGAGAGAAGAGTCATACTACACGAGTCGATGCGCAGAAGTTCTGCTGTCTCCATCGGGTGCCAATTACGATGACGCGCAACGCGGGCAGTCGACTCCTCGGATTCCTGAACGCTTCGAGGGCAGCATGTCAGTCGAAAAATGGCCATGAAGGCACGATGCGGCGAGGACCGAATTTCTGTCCACCACCCAGGCGAAGCCGGTTGGCCTCCAGCGCAACTCTCTGCTTGTCGATTCTGCAGAAGGCCTCAATGCGAGGACCATGCCTACTGATGCTTCCAAACGATTACTCAATTGAGAAAAAACAGTCCCCTGAGGTCTTGGAGTGGAGATAATCAACTTTCTTTTCAGATCCAAGGTCTCTGCGTCAAACGCAATGTGAACAAGAGGGCAGCACATTTCATCGAAATTGTTGTCCCTCTCAATCTTCCCGGATTGCGAAACATGTTGAGAGGCTGCCCGACGCCATAGATAAATGACTGAAGCGCATTTACACGATGCCTACACGCTGCAGCATAGCGTGAACTAAGTACAAATTGGCAATGATCGCAATTATGAAGACGCACGCCTTCCGTGGGCAATTCCTCATCCAAAGCCCGCCAGAAATATCATGCGCCCTCTCGTCACGGTCTCGTGTAGATCCGTCGAATAATGCAAGGTCGGGCTAACAGCTATACTGAAAAGCCCGGAGCGGCGCCTCGGCTTTGGTGTACATCGCAGAGCCAGCCGTGGTGTCCAATTTCTGGAGACGAGGCGCTCGCTACTGACGCGATAATCCCAAGGTGTAGGAGGAGTCGAAACCCCAAATGGTGCCATTAACTAATTGGATCAATACCAGAGGTGACTTAGAGGCCATTATTTTGATCTGGCATGATCTTGGCGGCAGTCGATTATATATCTTTCGCAGCGAGAATTTTACCCAGGTGGTCCGTTGGAGGGTGCGACGTAAGTCGATGAACCAGTTCTCTTAACCAATCTAGACGCTGCATTTCCTCTAGCACTGTGGTATTGTTGGTGGTCATGAGCAGAGGAATACTCTTGCATGGCCGACATTGTCGTCGGATCGGTAGCAGATGAAATGACATGGCAAGCTCTTAGCGTCGTGCGTGGAAGCATGCCACAGTCGGCTGCGCTGATTGCGCCTCCATTTAGACGTATTCAATCAGTCTTGTAAGCGACAACTGGATCGTCAGCGCGTGGTTTGAATAGCGTGAAGAGGTCTCCTTCTGACGTGGTCAGAGCAACTGACATTCCCACAGCCTTGTGTACAAGTCTCACATGGTTCGGATCAATGGTGCCGCGACTATAGCGAAGCCCCGATGATATTGTCTGGATCCCGTCGTCACGCTCTTAGCAGAGGTGGCCCGCTCACACAAGGGCATCTGCTGCATTGCAAAAGCAAGACCTCGTGTCCCTTATCTCGCCAGGCTCAAGGAGACTTTTCTTCACTCACATCACAAGTGCACCGTTTTTTGCGGCGTTCAAGAGACTCGGCCTCTCAACTGTGGGCAGCGAGGCGGATCTCACCAATGCACAAAGGTATGATATCCGGGATGTAGCGGAAGACAAAAGGGTATGATCGGAGGTGGAGGAGTCAGCTCTGTGCCAGTTTCGATGTGGGAGATCCGCACAAAACGACTGCAGCCTGTTTGGACGGGCAAGTTGAATGGCGAGGTGAGTGAACTTCTGTATGCGTCAGCCTGTTTTGGCACAGTTTGGCCTTCATTGAATGACGAGGGCTTGAGGTGGTATCTTCATGCCCTCAAGGTACGTACTCGTGCGACCACTCGTATCAACACGCTCAATGCAATTAAACGAGCCAGAAATGAAACATGTCAGCCACTGCCTCTCGGGAAGGCTCGCCCGATCATGCACTCGGGGTCGGCAATCTGTCGTAGGCCTTGACTGCAATCTACATCGTCCTTTTCGTCGGGTGGGGTGGATGCTGTAACTGGAGCCATCTTCAGCATCCAGCCGATTGCCTCAAATTACGAAGAATAGTCTGGTATTGGTTTGTGTCTACAACAGTGCCCTCTTGACATCTCGAAAATGCCAGATAAGAAATAGGGGCGTATACCCTGTCTATCGCCAGACTCGTGCTACCAGCAGGTCAAAGCGGCCTAGAGGCGGCCCAGTGCTCTGCTGCTACACAAGAAGAAGCAATCAGGATCCCGCATGTCCATGATTTTCACAAAAACAGTAGTGAGAGATTCTTGAATGATCGTAGAAATGACCACAGGTGAGTATTTTGGTCCCCCTTTGAGCGGGGATGTAAGGCAAAGCAGCGAGAAAAGCGATTGAGGTCACCGTGACAAAGTGACTTCATAAGGGGTATGTTGATGGCCAATGCCATGCAGGCCTGTAAGCGAGAATTTCTGGGCGTGACGGCGGCGTTGTTATGGCTTGACTGACCGTTTGTGCATAGAGGTCCAGCGTCCGCCCACCACCCACCAAAGGGCACCCACGACGTTAACAAGAAGACTAGTCAGTGAACGGGACTGTGGCATCCCATGCTATCAGATACTGTATTCATTGTCTGACCTTCATCGCTATAGGTTATCAAAGAGGACATGAAAGACCACAGGAATGTCGACAGTCCCTAGTGATTCGGGAGCAGTACGCGAGCGCTGCTTCTCGAAAGCACTACCAGGGGCCACACTTCTTGGCTGATCGCGGGTGACTTGGCTTGCTCTCAAGAATCATATCTTGCGTGTACCTAAGCCGCGGGGTATTTGCTGGTGGCCTATAGCAAGTCTATGAATGACCATTTGGCCTTACATGTTTTTAAATAACGCTCCGACTGGTGATGGTGCTGGGAGCAATCTGGTTGAGTTCAAGCCCGACGCCCATACGCCCGCCAGTGGCGTGATGGAACATCCCACCACGGGTTCGACCTGGCCGTCCCCTGCGTTCAGCACCCCTTGACCCTTCTACCCACCGAACCTGGCCAAGTGCCTGCATATGGCATCAAATTGCTAGCCAATATGGATGGAGGAGCCTGTGCTGGATGGTCATGATCTAGGAATATAAAATGCTCGGGACAGAGTTCTACACAGGCAGAATCTCTTCCCCGTGGGTGTATACCTCGACTTTCCCAATGAACATGTGCAGCTCAAGGCGGTCGGAACCCTTTTGGGCAGCATCGCAGGCGCTTTGGAGCAAACCCTTCTCTTCAGGACGCCCATTGTGCCAAAGTCCCTCAACACCCATGTCTTCCTCAACGGCATGGCTGCCCTTCCCAAGAATTGATTACCCTAGCGCCCAAAATCAGGAACACTCGAGACCATCTTCAGCATTATATCATAGGGTCAGAACAATGATCACGGCGTTATCGACTAGTTGGCCATCATCAGGGCATGCGATAGCGCTAGAGCTGCTGATGGCCACCGCCCAAAGCCACCATCGCTGCTCATGTCCTTTCGCTAACCAGGTTTCGCCATGACGCCGACTGCACGATCCATTCCACATGACAAGGTGGTCCCATCGAAGCGCCATTCACGAGCGAATAGCACGCAGCCACGAACCTCTAGGTCGTCCAGCGTCTGGTCCAGCCTGCGCGCAATCCCGTTTTGAGTCTGACATGCGTTTGACGCTGCCTGCTTCGCACCAAGGAGCGCCCTTGCTTCGATGACCCAGCTGCCGACAGTCTTAAGACTCATCCCGCTCCCTATCCAGGCTGTCGGGCCATCACCTCGTTAGTCGCTCGATGAGGGTGCTTCATCTACTCTTTTCCTTGGACCCCTTATCGACGGCATGGCCAACCGAGCACTCCAAAACTCAAAATGGCGATGACCCCCACAGACACAGAGGCCCCCGACCCAGCGCTGTCTGCCGCAGCACAACCAATGCTGTCTTCATCCCCCGAAGATACCCCTGCACCGCAACACGAGGTACGGGCCCAGGTTCGCGTCCGATTCAGGGCTGGCGTGTCCCGAGCATCTGGTACGCCAAGGTCTAATGGCATGCAGGATGAGGAGAACGAGGACCATGATTCGGCCCT